TTAATTATTTAAAAAATCGGACTACTATATCATATAGCTGCCATAGGAACGATCGGAAAATTAATGGAAAAGTAATAGGAAATAAATTCTAGCTTCTTTGGTTTTTGTTGTATTATCTTCTACTCTAGAATATGACTCTTTTTAAATATTTCCGAATTTCAATTTTAATTTGATCGAAATCGGACGACTATATCATATAGCTGCCATAGGAACGATCGGAAAATTAATGGAAAAGTAATAGGAAATAAATTCTAGCTTCTTTGGTTTTTATTGTATTATCTTCTACTCTAGGATATGACTCTTTTTAAATATTTCCGAATTTCAATTTTAATTTAATCAAAATCGGACGACTATATCATATAGCTGCCATAGGAACGATCGGAAAATTAATGATAAATATTAGAAAATTGAACATTTTTGCGATTTGTTAATTAATAGGAATGATCTGCAAGGGTATATAAGCTTCGGCTGGCCGAAGCTAGCTTCCTTTCTTGTTTTTTCTGGGTGTGCGCAATTAAAATTTTATATTTCCATCTCCCTCGCACTCCCTTTAGCTGAGTGACGGGTATTAGATAGTCGGGACACCCACGCGACTATAGCGTTCTCTCTTGTTTTTAATAGAAGCTTTGAAATTAAAATACAATTTTTTACCCGCTAAAATATTTTTACTAAACTTTACAGCAGGTGACGAACAACTGGACAGGACAATTTTGCAAGCATCTGTGGTAAAATCTTAAAAACTAGAAATCAGTAGAGGCGCAGATACTGCAGCGCCTGGCGACTCTGCATCGGATACAGATCGCCCACGTTGTACATGAGGTCCACCACATGGGTGGGTCGCAGCATGCGCCAGGGCATGAACTTCAGGGTCTTCTTGTCGCAGTGCACATCCTTCTCCGGCTCCAGCGGCAGCGGCACCTCGTTGTAGAGCATCCTGCCGTCAACGCTGCGCTGCAGGGTGCACGGCAGGCCGATCTGGTCGGCCAGTCCCTTGAACAGAACGGCCCGCTCGAACTGGCAGCCACTGCGCACCAGGCCCAGCGGTATGAAGTTCGTGTGCAGCACGTGGCGCAGTTCCTGCAGGTGGCAGTGGACCGTGTTCTTGCAGCACTCCTCCGTCGAGTTGAGGTCCAGAATCTTGAGGTTTTCGTTCATCACAGCGAACACGGCCTGGGCGATCAGCTTGCTCCGCTTGGCCACGTTGTCGAAGTCGATGGAACGACGAATCCGCTCCGGATTCTCCACCAATCCATGGAGCTAAAGATTGGTTTCAATGAGATATTTCTACCACCCCCGAAAACCAGTTAAACCCACCGCTAGTGTCTGGTTAAGTGCCTCCAAGTACTGCGGCAAGTAGTGATCTCCTGGTCGCTTGCAGTAGTCCCAGCTGGTGTCGCCGGGCATATCGGTTACCGTGCTCAAGCACCGCAGCGGCACGTCGATCACATCGCTCTCATCCGGCTTGGGACGATCGAAGTTGACCACCAGGACGGCGTCCAAGGGCGAGCAGTCGTTGCGGAGAATGTCCTGGAACTTGCGGAAATCCTCGAACTTCCGGCGCGACACATAGAAGTCCTTGCCGGCGGTGATGTCCGTGAAGGTAAGGCAGTTGCGGATGGCGAACTTCATGGTGGGGCACTTGGACAGAATGCTCTCGATGGCCGGTCCCCAGGTGGAAACGCAGAAGGCGTGCTTCTGGAACTCCAGCAAACTGAAATCGAAGAGGGGGTTTACCAGGCTTCGGAGATTGACACACATGTTAAAAACATGAACAATTGTATTTTACAGTTTGAGCAAAATTGTTGACATGTGTGTCAAATACAAGTGTTAAAATGTAAAAATAATTGTTACCACACACAGCTCACTTGTGTTTTTTACACCATCTTATTAACACGACGTGTTTTTTACACACTGTGATTTTAACACAAATTAAAGTTACATTTCACTGACATTAACAAGTCGAAGGGAAAATTAAAAATCTACATGGGCCATAATATCTTATATGTTAGTTTAAAGCATATGCTTTGCATATATATACTCTTATACTCTAGAAGACCGTGCATTTTTCAGTTCAAAAACTCATTGTGTTAAAAACACTATGTGTAAAAAACACAAACACAAGTTTTTACAGTATGTGTTATTTTTCAAACCCTGGGGTCTACCCACTTGTGTGATGTAAAAATAAGATTCTCGCTTACACTTCCAGGATCCCACGATCTATGTAGGCGTCTATGAACTCATTAAACCTGGTGGTCTGCAGAATAAAGTTGGTCACCGAGGTCTTGACCAGATTGGACAGCGACTTGAGGGCCCGCTTGATGGAGGAGACTATGTAGTTGGCCAGCAGGGTCTCGCGCACCGGCGCCTCGTCGATCAGGGTGCACAGGCAGCGGAAGATGTTGTTCACCAGGATGGAGTGGGCATAGGAGCGCTGTGAGGGGAGCAATCAAAGATCAGGATATAGAACTAGATATCCAGAACCAATCACCATTAGTAGCTGGGCAATCTGCTCGGTCAGGGAGCTATACTCCCCCAGGATCGTGCGGTACTCCTCGTTCTGGGCCAGACTCTCGATGATCGTCAGCAGCGAGAGGATGAGATCGATGGACAGCGTCGGCTGTCCTTGGGTGATGACCGCAGTGAGCACGACGGCAATCTCCTGCTCCTGCAGCTGGGCAGCCGTGTCCCGGAAGGCGGCCACCAGCAGGCGGGACAGAAACTCGGCCGCCTGCTCCCGCACCTTGATGGCCAACTCGGGCGACATTAGGATGGCCACCAGCTTGCGGATCGCCCCCTCCTCGTAGGCGGCCACAATGCGACGCAGTGCGTCCGGATGCTGGGACATGCGGTGCAGGCCCTGGATGACAAAGGCCGCCGGGGCAGGCTTGTTCTGCATCAGGCAGTTGAGGAACATGTCCGTGATCTCGGCCCTGTGCATCCGCTTCAGGAACTGCTCGTACTGCGACGTCTCCGCGAAGATCGAGATGATAGTGCAGCGCATCTCCAGCGGCATCAGGTCCATGTGGCTGCGCAGCTGCTCGACGACCAGGTCGAAGAGATTCTGTTCGAAGAACAGCTTGGTCATCTTCTCGGATCGCAGGGCCGTGGCCAGGACCTCGACGATATCCGCGGCCTCCGGTCCCTGGGGATTCTCGCAGAAGGCCTTCACCAGCTGCTCCAGCACGAAGAAGCAGCGATGCAGTGGCTCGAAGACACTATCCTCGCCCGTGTCCGCCAGCAGGGTCTTCAGGGTCTTCAGGGCCGCCTTGCGGATCTCCTGGAACTCGTTGGTTACCTCGCAGATAATCCTGTCCACCGGAAAGTCCGGCTGAGTGGTGAAATCCAGCATCTGCTCGGCACTTTGGACCAGCAGCATCCGATGCAGGGCCTCAATCGAATTGAACACCGTATCTGGGTTCTCGGAATTGACAAAGACCGCCTTGAACTTTTCCAGGAACTCGGTGGCCTCCACGAGGCCGTGGGCCATCTGGGGATCCCGCAGGCAGACGTTGAGTATGTAGGTCAGGTACTCGATGCAGAAGTCGTCGCTCTCCTTCAGGTAGAACCGGCAGGCCAGCTCCAGGATCTGATCCGTCTGCTCTGGCTCGTAGGTGGCCATATCGGTGTTGTCCAGCAGAGCGGTGAGCAGGTACAAAGCGAAGCGCCGGATCATCGTGTTCTCCGAGGCGATGAACAGGTCCTTATCGAGCAGCAGCTCCAGCAGGCCGTGGGCCCTCAGCTCCAGGACATTCACATCCTGTCGGCGGGCAAAGTCCGTGATGTGGCTGAAGACGGTCAGCAGAACGCACTCCTCCTTCGAACTCAGCAGGAGGAGGGCGGTGTCCAGCTTCTTGATCGGCACATTCACCTCCGTGAAGGATTTCTCCTCGGACTTGGTGCGATCCGGATAGGCCGTCTTGGCCTCGTAGACGCGCTTCGAAATGCGAGACATGTTCGAGGTCCAAACAGAATAAGGTTCTCTATAGATATAGGTACGCCTTACACGTGTAATGACATATTTAAAATGACATTCTTCTCCAGAAAGACGATCCAAATTCAAATATCCATAACCATCAATACCCATAGACTTTTTATTATTAGACATTTTTGTATTAATAATTTTTAATAATTAGGATAGGCTTGAACAAATATAAAAATTTATAAAAGTTTTTAATATTTGGTGGCATTATCTCGTAGGGAATTTCATTATAAAATACTTATTTATTACTCTTATTCAAGTTTTTCTTAGTATTAGGGTTAAAAAATTAATACTTAATAAAATAAGAGAACTTTTTAGTTTTTATAGTTTCCGAGATCTCAGTGTTCATTCGGACAGACAGACGGACATGGCTAGATCGGCTCGGCTAGTGATCCTGACCTATACAATACGAATACAATATAAACTTTTACTCTACGAGTAATATATGCCCACATACTCATTTAAAATTAATCAAATCGGACCATTCATTAAAAAGTTATGAGCAATACCAAAGTAAATAAAAAGTTTCCGAATAAACTATGATTTCTTGATCAGGAGCCTGCCCAGTCGATCACCATTTCGTCGTGTGTGTCGTGTCGTCTGTCGCGTCTTCCGTCTTCGTCTGTCTTGTCTGTCGTAAACCTGAGATCTAACTATAAAACAAATGCATTGATGAGATTCAGAGTTTAGCAAGTTTGTTTCAAAGGGTCCCGCCCCCATATACGATTTTAAAATTTAATATTTGGAATAAAAATCAGTTTTATGTTGTTTATAATACATCGAAATGTAAAAAATTAATACAAAATTTTATCCCTTCGCACTTCCTTTAGCTGAGTAAAGGAATCTGATAGTCACGACTATAGCGTTCTCTCTTGCTTTAAATTAGAGATATTAAATGCGTCAGTAAACTTATCTTTTCTTTTCTTTTTTATGCGAATTTGTCACACTCCAGCTATCACAATAAAAAAAAATTGAGCTTAATCCAGTCATAAATAATTCCACAGTTAAAAAAATTGACAAATCACTGGATGAGCAAGGAATGATTCAACTACTGAACAACTGAAGGAAAACTATACAACCTCCAATTGATTTAGGCTCTGCTCAGGAACACTCCCTCGGTTCCTGTTGTCGTATTTCGACCTTCCCTGGATCTCGAAACGGTGGCACTCCACTCGCGGATTGGATTTCGTCTAGAATGAAAGATGATAGTAAAATGTTGACTTTAAATTAATTCTAAGTAAATGCTGAGACTAACACAATGCTAAGAGGAGTTAAAAGCATGGAAAGGAGCAAAAAACAGATGCATGAGTTTATTAGAGATTACTCTCATGCCTTAATAACCGCTTATTCACATTTTTATTCAAAGTAATAGAGTACTTACTGGTTCTTTATGAGTTTTAGAGTGCTAGGCTTCAAAATAAAGAGCACGAATATGATGGTGCCCTGAGACCAGTTTAGATAGTCGGCCACTTGAAAAATCATACCCCAAAACTCGTTCTGCCGTACATGGAAGGATATTATCTCCAAGCTCCAGGTCAAACCCATGAGGATGAAGAGCCGCAGGAAGAACGTGAACCTGTTGAAGGATTAAAAAAGTTAATAAAAGTTAAAATAAATATCTTTGTAAAATTACGTTCGTTTATCGGAGTTAAGCCTTTTATTCTTTTGTTGCGGTTGGGCACAGTTCCTAACATCCTTCTTAACTTTTACTATACGAACAGCTGTCAGGATAAACATGATTATGTTGAAAATAATCAGCAGTAGCATCGGTCCGAAGAAGTACAGAAAGGCCGCATTATCTCCAGCTGTGGGCGAAAGGAGAATGTGCATGAGGGGCCCACCCATGTAACTGCAAAATGACATCGAAACCCACTGTATATCCAACATTGTGTGGTTCCCATACGAGGTGTCCAATCTTTGTCCAGATTGACATTATCAGCTAGGACAACGACTCCGGTCAAGACCAGGGCCAATCCCCAAGAGTAAATGTTGTAGGCCCGAAACCGATGCTCTGGCAGGAATCGGCTCACGGAATCGGGGGGCAGGGCAATCGTTACCCAGAGGTGCAGACTGATGACAGACAACCAAAAGAACGCGGCCATGACGAAAAAGTAGCCCATGAATCCTATAGATTATAGTTATTTACTATATAACTGCACCATAGCATAGAAGCTCAAGTTAACCTGATGTAGTGCAGCCGATTGAAGGCCTGTCCCACACGTTCCACAAGTTGATGAGCAAAAGTGCGTAGCCCATGAACAGAGCGACCATGTAGCAAATGAAGCATTTGCCGTGCAACTTCCTCAGCTTCTTGACGTATAGGTAAACGCTGATCGTAAGAACCATGCATATCAATGATATTGACATCACTGTGGGAAGAGAAAGGCTGTCAAGGTGAAGGACTGAAGTTGATTTCAAAGTGTAGCTTACCGATGGTTTGCCCCGTTTGCGAGGCTTCAGAATCAAGATGACAAAAGTGAGGAGTAATTCGAATACCGTCACCTTTGAATTCAGCATGTTGCAGGCAGTATTTTCGCTTATCCAAGGTCGCACTGTCCCAGTGTCGAAAAGAGGTTCCATTCTAGTGAAAGTAAAAGCGGTTAAACTTGTCCAACTAAAGGCCTTTTTACCAGGGACCGTAAATAATCATTATTTGAGATTTTTATTTTAAAAGGCCTACTGAGACTTTTACAAGTTTTAATCAACAATTGAACTGGTTTTTATGCACTTTCACATAGTACATGCTTTAACAAATCTGGAACAGTTAATTTACTGTTCCAGATTTGTTGAAATGCATATACTTTGTGGACAAGAGTAAAAAGAACGTTATATTTGACGTTTAAAACAAAATATCACAGTAGTCTTTTTAAAATAAAAATCTCAAATAATGATTATTTACGGTCCCTGCTTTTTACACCTCAGTAGGAATTTTTGAAATGGAATTGCATGTTTGGAACCACAATAACTATGAAAACAAACGAAATGAACACCATTCATTTCATATAAACTCTCATGGAATATGTACTCACACACATATTCCAATCAAGTCAAATATAATGATATTAACATATCGAATTTCTGTTACTGTCGAACTAATTTTAAATTGTACAAGAGCTTCTATTCAAAATTCTTTTAATTTATGTTAAACACAAGCGGCTTTTCTTAGAATCCTGACAAAATTTAGTTTGCAGTGTAAACTCGAATTGAAAAGTGAAATGGAAAATGGAATTTATTTATCTAAGATTTTGAAATTTTTATGAAAAATAAGAGTTCATGTCACATTCCATCTGAACTATAAAGAGGGCTTAAGCATGTGTAAAAGCAAAAGTACCTCAAACAGTGTGAATCCGTTTCCAGGCAGAGTATGATCTATCCAGTGCATCTTGTCGTCGCCACAGGGCAAAGGCAGATCCGATTGCACAACTAGATCTTCCTGAAAGTGTCTTTTGACCACCGTTCCGTTGCTGAGGCTCAATTCCACGTAGCGATTGTGACTTTCCAACTCGTCCTTTGACATTTCACCAATGCAGGAGCCGTCATTCGCTTTGTGATTGTGAGGGCAGCAGAATCTGATGCAGGGCCTTAGTTTGCAGACACATCCTCTTCTGTGGCTCGGCACGTCTTTCTTGGAGCCGTCAGGCAGATGCATGGTGGTATACATCCCCGTCAATTCGGCGGGAATGAGTAGTCCGTCGTATTCGTACGAACCGTTCGAAAGCACCTTGGCGCTTGAAATATTTACAGTGTCATAGAAATCACAATCACTAATTTCCGCTTTCGTTAGTTGCATCGACAGCAAAATAATTGTAGCAATGGTCCCAACTAGTAGCCGCATTTTTTAAAAAATGAACTATACAATATAATATAGTTATAACAATTAAGGGCTTCAGCGACAGAAAAACGAGGATAATTAAACAAATAACAAACGCGAGCTGTTTTGCTATGTGTGTCCGACAACGGCTTAGTTATGACTGATGCGATTTAAACATATTATTCACTCAAGGAACTGACTCAAACTTTGATAAACATTTTGTATATTTTAAAAAGAACGGACGTCAGTAATTACATTGTTTGAAAATTATAGTTCTTAAATTAACCTTAACAAGAGAGAACGCTATAGTCGGGTGCCCCGACTGTCAGTTACCCGTTACTCAGCTAAAGGGAGTGCTAAGGAGATGGAGATAAAAACTTTGATCCGCCGTAACTTTTTAACGAATGGTCCGATTTAAAAAATTTCTTCTACATTTCGATAGGTATTGATAAACACAATAAAACTGCATTTTTACTTTTCCAAAATATTGAAATTTTTAAATTGTATACAAGCGATTGTGGGCGTTAGAGGGGGCGTGGCACCCTTTTGAAACAAACTTGCGCTGCGTAGGAACTCATAGAATCTGCATGCAAAATGTCAATCTTCTAGCTTTTATAGTTTCCGAGATCTCAGCGTTCATACAGACAGACAGACGGACAGACAGACGAACAGACGGACATGGCTAGATCGACTCGGCTAGTGATCCTGATCAAGAATATATATATAGTTTATAGGGTCGGAAACGCTTCCTTTTACCTGTTACATACTTTTGCACGAATCTAATATACCCTTTTACTCTACGACTACAGGTATAAAAATGACCTCAAAGTTGTAATGAAACAGTTTGTGTCCATGCTTAAACCGCAATTACAGGCAAACGAGTTATTGGATTGTTAAGTCATAATAACATTTGACAAATAAAAAAGTAACTCTTACTTGCGATCCCTGATTTATTTACCTAAATCAAACTATTTTTGAAGTTTTAATTAAGGTCAATTTTTGTTTGCTGCAGGAGATACGTAGTAAATCGACCTTAAGGTAGATTACTAGTTTCTTAAGAAAAGGATTTCTTCACGGAGGAAATTTTTTTTAATAGATACTATTATTTTTACATTTAGGAATAAACAAAATTGAGAACATAAATTTTACGAAAAAAAACCCTTTTCGTTAGTTATTAACAAAATTGTGAAAAACTCGATGTTTCGGCTGATGGACTGGGGGAGGAAAGTTTCCGATCCAAAGAAAAACTACAACAATTTCACAAAATACCCCCTAAACTAAATCCTGGTTCCGCCACCACTGGAACTCTTGAGCAAATACATTTCCACATATTTCACCTCGTTCTTATCAAAAAATTCATTTCGTTGCATTACCTGCTGATGGCAAACATTTTCTTATCTGCCAAATGTATTTTCCATTTGACTACCGCCACGAAACCAAACTCTGAATATAGTAGTAATCCGAAATACAGTTCGTTGTTTTGAATAACTACCACCATTTTGTAGAGTCCCAATTGCCCTTTTTGGGCTGATCTGAAGAAAAGTACAGCTAAGTATTGTTAGATTTTGAAAATGGGTTGAAAATGCACTATTTTGAAATAAACATTAAAAAATAAATATATTTAATGCTAGGAAATCCTTTTGATCTTGTTTGAAAACCTAAACAAATAATTTAAGCTACAATTACTGAAATCAAAAAAAACAATTTTTAATGCCCCAAAAGTATTATATCTTTTAACTGGGTCTCACGGGCATTTGTTTACAACTCATTTTACCTTAAAATAAGTGGTAAATAAAAATATCTCTCTTTTACATTTTTCAGTTAAATTCAAAACGGATCGCAGCAATCGGTTAATCGGAAAGCGATCGTATTCATCGATCACAACCCCGAAAAAACACTAAAAAATCCGCACGCGTCATTTGAATTTAACAAGCGAACGGGGGTGGAAAGCGGAGAAGACGATAACGCAGCGACGCTTGTTTGTTTCGCCATCGTTGGTGCAATTTGAAAATAGTTTTAGCATCGATTTAAAAACGCAAAAAGGCAGCACCGAACACAACCAGGTATTCAAGCCATACGGAATGGCCAGACCAAAGGCGAAGGCGGCCGAGAAGGCCAAGCCAAAGGCGACGGGCGGAAGGAAGCGTCCGGTGGCCACCAAAAAGTCCAGCAAAGATGGAGAGAAGGAGAACGAGGATCAGGCGGTGGCGACCAGCTCCTCGGCAGCATCGTCCTCCTCGAGCCCGGAAGTCATGTACTCGATAATGCGGCAGGCGGAGCTCAAGGAGTCCCTGCACAAGCGCTACGTGAAGGAGATGCAGCAACTGTACACAAAGGTAAGCGTCAGCGGAATGTATCTATAATTTCAAGCCCTAATCACTGGTAATTCCCGGCAGATGGGCCACGATCACTTCCAGCAGGCCTTCATCAATGTCCTGAAGGCCGTCCTGGAGGCGGAGGAGGGCAACGAGAACGCCACCATGGCGCTGAACTTCTGCGCCACCTTGGTCGCCACTCCGGATGCGGAGCGCACGGAGCCCCTGCTGAACGAGACCTTCCGCTGGCTGCTCACGGTGAGTGTCTACTGTACTTTCCTAATATAATAGCTAATACAACCCCTTGGGTTTCCCCGCCCTTGCAGACCTATTCCAGCAATCCGCACATCCGCTACCGCATCTGCTACTTTGTGAATCTCATACTCAAGGAGCTGGGGCCCAATGCCGCCCTGGAGGACAACCAGTGCGACGATATCCTCGACGCAATGCTGGATCGCGTCAAGGACGTGTCCGCCAGTGTGCGCAAACAGGCCGTGCTGGCCATGCAGCGTCTCCAGAACCCGGACAATCCCAACGATCCCGTGGTGTGTGCCTACCAGTACCACCTGACCTCCGATCCCTCGCCCAATGTGCGCCAGTGCATCATAACGTGCATGGGGCGCAACTACATCACCATTCCGCACATCCTACAGCGCCTGTGGGACGTCGACGAGAAGGTGCGCCGCCACACGTACGTGAACATGTGCAACTACCCAGTGCGCTCCTATAAGGTGGCCCAGCGGCTCACCCTGCTGGAGCAGGGCTTGAACGACTCCTCGGCCTCCGTGCGCAAGACGGTGGTCAACTACATGCTGAAGACGTGGATCGAGTCGTACCAGCAGAACTACATCGCCCTCACGGCGGCCCTCAAGCTGGACTCCAACGAGGAGGAGCTGCTGCGCTTCCGGCGCGTGGCCAAGCAAATGCTGCGGGTGATCTTCGAGCAGACGGACCACCAGAAGCTCATCGAGCAGCTGCCGTTGAGCGACGACTGCGAGCTGCACCGCTGCATTCCACACGAATCACTGACCGTGGAGCTGCTGATGTACTGGCAGTGCCTCAGCGAATATCTGGAGACGGAGGTGCCCGAATCGGAGCCCGTGCTGCCGGAACTCAGTGTGTTCTGCAACTATATGGATAAGTAAGTCAGGAGACCTAACATATTTCCATGTTCCTTATATATGATTCCTTTTTATAGATTCTGCCTGTTTCAAAAGCCCGACATGGACAAGTTCGCCCAGGTGGAGTTCCAAAACATGCTGCTCTCGCTGGTGGAGATCCTACAGTCGTACGACCTGGGCGACGAGATCGGGCGGGCCAACATGCGATTGCTGATCTCGAACCTCCTGAAAGGACTGCCTCCTGGACCACAAGATCGTGTGCGTGCTGGTGCGCTGCATGGAGCAACTGATCGGCGACATGAACGATCGCATGCAGTTCTTCATTGAGATCGTCTACGAGCTGTGCGAGCTGAACAACAAGCAGAACGAGCTGATACACGACCGCAGTCTGATCAATAAGTTGCTGGACGACTTGGACACGCCGCAGAAGATGAAGATCTCCTCGCTGAAGGTCAAGATCCTCGAGTTGGAGGAGCAGGAGGACAACTATGTGCGCCAGAAGGAGTACATACGTGCGCAGTCGGTGAACGATGAGAAGACGGCCGTCACCGAGGAGTACACCGAGTTGATTCGCCCTCTGCTGGAGCGGAACGGCGTGATCGAGATGCCCGCCCGCCCGAAGCTCTCCAAGCAGGAGCGTGTGCTGAAGGGCCTGTATATCTGCTACTACATGACCGCCTCGCCGCACGTGGACAAGCTGACGCCGAGCCTTTGCCAGCTGTACAAGGACTTCATATGTCGCTATCTGCCCTGCGCCGAGATGGACATCTTCGAGTGGGCCATCAAATGCGGCACCACCTACAGCATGTTCTACGAGGCGTACTGCAAGGAGGTCTTCGAGGTGGTGGTGGACCAGTTCTGCAACAACAACGTCGTGCGGCTCTGCGAGACGGCGGCCAACTGCATGCTGGAGCTACTCGATCGCTACGGCGTGGACTACTTCAACGAACTCAACCAGACGGTGGGGTCAGTGTCGAAGACCAAGCGACGACAGCTGTACACGATGCAGGAGCTCTACGACGACGACGATGGCAACCAGTCGCAGAACAACGACCAGAATTCCGATATCATCATGGTTTTGGGTCACTACGTGGAGCGGGTGCAGAACAAGGGCGTTGGCTTGGCCATCGTTCGTGGGCTCTGCCGCCTGGTGCTCCGCGGCCATCTGGACGATCGCCCCGATGTTCTGGAACAGCTGCTGAAGCGGTACTTCAACCCAAACACCGAGCCCATTATTAGCCAAGTGCTGGGCATGTTCTTCGAAGATTTGAGGCGCCTCAACAAACAGAGCCTCCTGCAGCCGTGCTTCCTGCCCACCATTTGGACCATTATGAACTGCAGCTTTGATTCGCCGCTTAACGGCGTTCAGCCCGAACACCTGACAAAGTTCTTCCTCGAAATGACTGTGCAGGAGATCAGCACACCACAAACGAATATCCACAACAAGATGGCCATAAGCTTTTTGCAATACATTCAGAACTACTTCACGGAGCGCAAGGAGATGTGCCGTCTGCTGGCCAAGGAGCTTACGAATCTATCGGTAAACGTCTTCAACGGGACGGAGATTAAGACTGAAATGCTCGAGCTGGCTGACAAACTGATAGCTGTAAGTACTCTCTGAGTTTTCCTTAATTATTCGGTTTCTTATTTGATTCGGGTTTACATTACAGAGCGAATTGGATCCCCGCATGATCAAAAACATTCAGAACTTCAAGCTGCTGGTCGACGGCAGTTTCAATCCGCCCCCGCGTCAAAATCCCGGGGAAGGCGAAAGCGATGAGGAGTGTGAAACAGCCACCGTGACCACTGCGGAGTCAGAAAGTGCAGGGCCACCAGCCAGCCGCTCCGGTCACCGAAGAACCAACCCACGAGGTGGCCCAAACCACCGCCTCAGAAGCAGAAACTCAACAGAGCGAAGCAACTGCTGCAACTCCACGACCAGTCGAACCAGCAGCGCCAACACCTGAGCCCATTGTGACTACCTATGGGAAGGATAACATTGTCGGCATACGTTACCTGCGTCGCTCCATGGCCATTAGCCATTCGGATGCCGAGAGCCTTTTGGGGCCGCAGACGCCCGAACCGGAGGAACACACTGAAACGGAGGCGGCAGAGACATCCAGGCGGAATTTGCGCCAGCCGCAGATGAGACGACGCCTCGAAATGGCGATGGCCAGGTCGTCGAAGACACCGGAAAAGCAGCCCCCCGCGGAGGAGGAGGAATCATCCGACGAGGAGATCTCCGAGAGTCCCACTGTAGTGGATAGGGTAAGAGCCAGATTAATACCCAGACAAATGCAGCTATTAACTTTGTTCTTTGTTTTTTAAGTCAAATGATTCCGAGGTGATCGAGGCATCGCCCACAGCGGCCTCTCCTAGTCCGAAAAATGCACCGGATGCCAGCCATCTACGCATACGCTCGCTGCGCAACAGGAAGGCCGCAAACACTTCCACGTCGCAGTCCACACCCAACCCAGTTAGCAAAGTGAGTATCAGGCGCTTGCGCATGCAGCTCTAGCCACTGCCAAAGGACTCACGCACCATTCACTCGCTGTTTAGTTTAAGATCAAAGTTGCAATCGGCATTAACAATCAACAAATGTTTTCAAAACTGAACACAAATTGTAGTTTCCTTTAAGCCTCGTTAGTATTAATGATGCACCGCCTCCTGTTTAGTCTTGCATCCGGGTAGATCCTGTATAAGAAACCCACTAAAGGGAAAGGTTTCAATTGATTTTCACATTTTTGTTTTGTTTTTCGTTCTTTTTTTTTTTAATTACCATTAGCGAAAAGTCCTGCATCTGGAAACGCCTCTAAGAAACGGACGGAAAAGAGTGCTGAGACGGACTCCCTCAGATCCCAACTCCCGCTCCCTGCGATCCGGCGACTCGACGGCTGTTTCTCCGCCACGCGACTCACCGCTGCGGAAGCATCAACGCCTGGACAACAGGAGCTCCCGGCGACAGCAGATGGCCAAGAACACGAATAGTCCCACGGACAGCACATCGTCGGTCAAGGAGAATCAAGTGCCCCCCGCAATTGTTATTCAACCGGGCTCGGCTGTATCTGAATCTGAATCCGAAAGTGAAGCAGAAGCAGAACAAAGGCGTACAAAGTCCAAGAAACCGATCAACAAGTCGATATCTTCAATCTCATCCCGCCTCAGTAGCAGCACCCCAAAAGTTACCACGCGAAACGAGGCGCGCGCCCAGCGGATCAACTCCATGCGCATGACCCGGAAACGGATGTCTCTCGAAATGAACCTCAGTGGCGGCCAGCTGCAGGTGTCCACACCGAAGCGCGTGACGAGGGCCGTGGCCTTGACCATGAGCACGGACGGCAAGCGCGGCAGGCGGAAATAGCGTCCGACTGGAGTCACCCTTAGTAATTCCCGTTGTGTATTCTGTGTTCGTTCGTTAGAGTTTAGTTGTGTTGCCCGTTCTTTGTGTAAAATATGTGTAAATTATAGAGTAGTTTAAATAAATCGTTAAAAAATTTAACAGAAATTAAAAAAATGTGTGTATCCTTACAAAATCAAAATGTGTATTTAATAAAAAAAATAAGAAGTTTTATTCAGGGACCGTATCTGTTCTGAGTTTTATGTTAAAAACAATTTTAACAGTTATTTCGGATTCGTAAAGTAAAACTCAAAGAATAACTGTTTTTTTGTAATTTTATAATAAAAGTTGCAAATGACAGTTATTCGTCGTTATCAAAAATAAAACTCAAACTTGATATATTCGTTTTTGTGGGTAAATCAAATTAAAAAAGAAAAGAGTTATACAATATGCACGGTTGGCTTTTTTTTAAAGATTTTTGGTAAGTTATATAAAACTCGGTTAGCATGTTTTTTTAATTATTTAATTTTTTTCAAATGTTAAGGGAATAATTGTTATACATAAAAATCAACAAATAACAGTTATTTTTTGAGTTTTATATAAAAATCATTACGGATTTGAAAACTACAATGGCTAACAAAAATAATGGTGTATTTAAAAAAATTTTGACTCTTCTAAGTGCATGATTTTTTTGGTAAGAAAAATTTACAATAACAGTTATTTAATTTTCAATTATAAAGTAGTTTAAATAAATCGTTAAAAAAATTTTACAGAAATTCTAAAAAATAAATGGTTATTCCTTTTACAGAATCAAAATTTGGATAATAAAATAAACCAACCAAGTTTTATTTAATTTTCAATTATAAAGTAGTTTACATAAATTGTTAAAAAATTCAAGCAGGGCTTCAAAAATAAATGTCTATTCCTTTTAAAGAATCAAAATTTGGGTAATAAAATAAATAAATAAACCAAGTTTTATTATAATTTTCAATTATAAAGTATCTTAAATAAATCGTTAAAAATTTTAACAGAAATTATAAAAAATAAATGTGTATTCCTTTTACAAAATCAAAATTTGGATAGTAAAATAAAATCAACAAGTTTTATTTAATTTTCAACGCGTGTTTAGGCGGTACTCTAATAACTAAGGGATTTCTTGCCTTTTATTTGAGAAACTTTACACAAATAATTTCCATACTAAAGGTTGTATATAAAATGTTTTTAATTTATTGAAAATTTCTACATATGTAGGTGTATAAATGTGTATTTTGATGCTGGTAACTTGCATGCAGACCAAGCATGCGTGAATAAGTACATGCTGAGATTCGATCGATCCGAATGAAGGAAGCCAATGGCGAGCAGTGATTACGTTAGTTTCCAGTTACTTAAGTCTATCCAATGCTTAGCTTACAAATTAGAAACGATAGTTATGAGGTTAAGGCAACGGCGGTCATTTAAAACAGATCTGGGCGATCGAAAAGTAGGGGGCCTTAGAGGAGTATTTAAAGTTTAAGGCCATTCAGTTTGTGGGCCGTGGTGTGCAAATCCCATTCGTGCTGCTGCAGAGCCTCGAAGGAGGCCTCCAGGCTGAGATTGGCTTCGCTGACCAGGTTCTGCAGCTTGATGAGCTTGATGGACTTGTGAACGTCCCAATTGATGAACTCCAGGGCTCCCAGGCAGCGATTGGGCGTACTCTGTGGAATAAGCATAATTAGAAATTTAATCATATATTTCTTTAAAAACATAAGCTAATAGAACTCACATCCTTGCCAAGAACCTTCACCATAATGCGCACTTCATCCGAGTCCACGCCCCGTTCGCAACCCTTGGGCTTCTTGTCGGAGAACTCCAGCAGATCCTCGCAGCTCACGGAATTCGAGTCCGCCAGTCGAGCCGCAGTGGCTGCAAAGTACTCGGCCTCAGTTTGCGGCTTGGCAGAGGCTCCTCCAGGGTGACTGCTACTCGAACTCGTTTCGGCCAAGGAGTTTCGATTCATGGCCATATTGACGGAGGCTCGAACCTTCTTGAACAGTGCATTTCCAGCCAGCTCATTGTCCGCCGTGGAGAAGCGACGATTCACCTCCGGAGCAGCCTCTGCCGGCGGCTGTCCATCCTGCTGGCTGGCCTCCGACTCCAAGGCGCTGCAACTGCTGCCCGGAGTGGCCGTCTTTCGGCTGCTCTCGATGTCCAGGTTGCGCAGCTCGTCGTCGTCGTTCACATACAAGCCGGAGATCTGCGTGGCCTCGAACTCGGCGTCCTTGCCCTTGTTGTAGTGCTCCTTCTGAATGGAAAAGTTGTAGAAGCCATCGGTGACGTCCGGCGACTGCAGGATACCCTCCTTGCTGGAATCTGCCTCCAGGATGGACTCAAACTGGAGGGAGGCAGTGTCCGTAAGACCGGCGGCATCGGCAGGAGCCAACTTCTCCAGGTTCTGGTAGGTGTGCGATGCTTCACTGCCCACCGCCGGCATGTTCTCGTACTCCCGATCCGAGGGACGCGATGGACGTCGCATGCTATTCGGCCGGACCGCGGCCACCACTTCGATGGCTCGCGCTCTCTGCTGTTGGCTGGAGGAGGAGGAGAGCTCCGGAGACTTTCCAGCTTCATCCCCAAAGTCCGTCAGCTTGCTGAGGGTGCGCTGCAGTCCGTTGGCCGGGATAATCAGCGGATACTTGCGCACATGGCGCTTGGTGCTGGTCTTCACCTGCTTCTTGCCCTCGCGGGGAGGCAGGGGAATGGGATTCGGTGATTCGGGTTCGGTTTCGGGAAGCTGCGCCTCGGGAAACTTGTAGCTGCCGTGGGTCATGTAGCTGGGACTCTCGCAGGTCTCCAGCGAATTGGAGTTCTCGTCGTTGGGACGACTCAAGCCGGCAGCCAGCTCCGCCTTTCGCACCCGCTGGGCGGCTCCTCGGGTGGGCAAGGTCATCGGGCGCTGCGACTGGTGGAGGCTCTGCAAGTCGAACTCGTCGGTGTCCAGGTGGCGGAGCAGGGTGGAGGCCGGACTGGGTCCGATGTCCAGCAGGGCCTTGCGCTCGATCAGGCTGTTGTAGGCCTCCAGTCCCTCCTTCCCAATGAGCGACTGCGGGTGCGGGGTGGGAATAAAATGAATGGAAATGAAATTGTACAAAATGATAAGGCTGGTATAAAAAATCATAATAACTAAAGCAGTGCAAGGAACTAATATTTATAGTAAATTGAATTAAAATTCAGAATTAGTTTTTCTTTATTGAATCCCTTTAAATATGCACAACATTTTCTTTTTTTTGATTACCAATTAACTTGTTCGGTTCTTAGAATTCAAACTCTTCCTTTTTCAAATATCTGTTGCTTTAGTTAAATGTAGTTTAGTTTAGTTTAGTTTTGGGGTTTCTTGTATAATACTCGAGTAAATTTTGGTTTTCATTTAGTTTAATGTTCTCTGGGTTGAAACGCTTCAAACGCATAGTTTAGAATATCATGTTCCGTAATGCTTACATTACCGCATACGCCTCTACAAATGTATACATATAATTAGGTTGATTTAGATTTAAGTAGGTGTATATATAATCTGTATATCATACTTTCAATTTGAGTTTATCCATAAATGCATAGAATGCGAAAATCTTTTAGTAAGTATAATCCATATAATATATTCTTAGTGAGGTTATCAAAAATGTTCGACACTCTGCAGCCGTCGGCAATTCAATTAAAGTTAAATTTTAGTTTTAGTTTTAGTTTGCTTTTGCTTTTGGTTTCGTTTTGGTTAGGTAGGCCAATACTTGACTTGTCAATCTCCAATCTTAAAGATACTTTAGGGTTCGACACTCTAGTTAAAGTGAGCTTAAATGCTTCTCTTGGTTTCGGTATCGTTTAACTCGTTTGGTTTTGGTTTTGGTTTCGCTTTAGCTTTGGTTTTTATATAAAATGCAAGCGTCAGGATATGGCACATAATCCGTACGGGATCCTTGCTCCGACGAATGTCTTTTGATGTGGACAAGTTCTGAGGATTGTCAACAGTTTTGTGTGGGTGACTGTCTGTCGTCTGTCTGGTTGTTTTTGGTGTCTGTGTGTGACTTATAAATTACCGCAGTGGCAACTGGTAATACCCTGTCTAGTTGGAGTCCCCATCGGTAAGTGTGAGTGTTTGTGTTTGTCGTGTGCCTTGAAATACTGTTTCCGACAACCAAGCTCTTGTTGGGTTTATTTCTAAAAAATTCTTGAACATTTTTCATTCCGTTTGGAAGCCATTATATTTGTTATATGTTTTAGTGAAAAGTTGAAGAAAAGTTTTGTCTATTGACTTTAGGCTACTGAATAGAGATTTAGTTTTATGTTTGAGAGATGCGTATTAAATTTGAATCGATGGATTTAATGATATAGTCAGCTGTTAATGAAGATGATGCAATGGTTTGGAAGGTGTGCAGCCGAACTGCACAGCATTATTATCTGTTCTGAGAGGTCTTCGGTGTTTTCCTATAAGGCACACTCTCAACTCGCTTCATAAAAATTCAAATCCAAAAAATATATGTAATCTATTCGCTGTAAATACTTCTACAATTTACTCTTTGACGCCAACACTCAACGCTTCCCTCCACTTCCTCACTTCCTCACACACAGACAGTAGCCATTGGTGACCACCACTTTCCACATTCCATCTCCCACGATCGCCTCTAGTCGGACATCACATTGCCAAACAGTAAATTGAGAACGTATTTCAGCATTTTCCTTAGTTATGGAGCCGGGCTGGGCGGAATTCGCGGCGCCACGAACTCGCGACGGAACTGGAACTCATCGCCACTCTCGGTGCTGGATGAGGAGGAGCTGTCACTGGATCTCCTGGCTGCCACAGCTCCTCCTCCGGCAACCGTTGCGGTGGTCAGCTGCTGCTGCTGCTGCTGCTGTTGCACCTGCCTCCAGTGCATCTCGTGCTGCTTCACCGCCGATGCGTGTATCTTCTCCGGCCAGTGGAACTCCGTGGGTCGCTGGGGCTTCGCCAGCAGGCAGCCCGCCGAAAGCTGGCGCTGCTTGAGTTCCTCCGGCGAACTTCCCACAAAGTTGGTGGACGTGGGACTCTTTCCCGTCAGCCGGCTAATGTCGAACTCGTGCAGGGCAGCTCCTCCGCTCATGGGTCGCTGTATGGAGGAGGCTCCTGTTCCTGTCCTATAGGTGGCCTGCACTGCCGACGAGGCGGCCGAAGAGGATCCCGATCCGGAACCGGGCAACTCTGCTCCGTTCAAAAGATAACTGGGCTTTTGACTCGCATAGCTGGGATGAGCCATGTTGTAGTTGTTGCCTGGACCGCGTCCCCCGAAATCGTAAATGCGCTCGTCGTATTGGAACTGCTCGTAGCCACCGCCGCCCATTATGGCAGCTCCTCCTCCTCTGTGGAAGCTGCGCCGCTGCCCACCGATATTGTAGTGCGGTGCCGACTTGATGCTCGAATTGGAGCCGTAGATTTGGCGAGGCGAGATGATGGCCTCGCGTTCGTCGTGGCAGGCGGACTGCACCTGGCGGTTCATTCGGCGACGTCTCCCCAACGAGGCATTCGAGCTGTTTGCCACTCTGGACCGGATGTCGCACTCGGAGCGGGCCAAACTGGGCTTGCTGGGCTCTTCGCCGCTGGAGGAACTCGAGTCCAAGGTCATGGGATTGTAGCTCAGCCGCCTCAAGGTGCGGGCTCTAATCGAACGTGGTTTATACGAGGCGGAGCGACGCGGCAAGGGCGGCTGATGCTCCAGCCTCACCTGCCGCTGCACTATGCCTCTTTCCCGCTGCGGCGGCTCAGAGAGAACCGGGGAAATGGGATGGAAGCTCTCGTTAAAGGATGTCGAACGCTGGCGGTAGCCCTTAGATCCCATAAAAACAGAGCCACTGCTGGCATTCAAACCCGCTCCCGACTTAATGGGCGAGGCACTGGCCAGCATCTGTTTAGTGGCCCCGTTGCCAAAACGCTCGTAGCCCAGCTCGTAGCCCCCAGACATGACCACTGGTGGGGCGCTGAACAGCGGCCTCACCCTTGAGCGGAAAATGGAAGCTCTCCTGCGGACTGTAGCTGGACTTTTGGCTGCTGCGGCGCGACAGCGAGATGTTCGTGTCCCGCGAGGCGAATCCCGTGTCCGGGGTGCTCGAGCGCTTGTCCTCCATGGGCTTGGGATCCACAGCGGGAACGGCGGCGCTCAGCTGCGCCTGGTTGTGCATGTACTGCAGGTGCTTGTCCAGATGGCTGGTGGCCGCATTGAAGTCGAACATGGTCTGCACCCCGTTGCTGTAGCTGTAGACCGCCGACTTGAGGCTGCCGGTGGCACTGCTGATGCCGTCGTCCAGACAAACGGGCAGCTGGTCGTTGAGGATCGTGTCGTTGGAGTCGCTCTTGTCCAGCTCCGTGTACGTGTGCATGAAGTCCAGGTTGAGCGCCTTGAGCGTGTTCTCAATGTCCATGATGTTGTCGTCGATGCTCTTCGGCTGCTGATCCTCCGCCCGCTCACGTTCGAGGTTCAGCGGCCTGCTGAGGATCTCGCGCGACTTTTGGAACAGGAAGTCGGAGCTCTCCTTGTCGAAGATGGGCACACGCAGATCGGTGCTGTTCTTGATCTCGCTGAGCGACCGGAAACGCTGCTCGGTTCGATGGAGGAGCAAAACGAGAGAAAACAACCAAAACAAAAGGCCAAACGCAAATGCAAACGCAAAAGGGGAAATGAAAGGGCAACGATGTTGGTGAAGGAGAAAGAGCAGAGTGTAGAAAAAACTCAAGGATTAGAATCTAATGGCGTAGCGCTACTGAGAGAATAAAACGATGTGACCCCTCAATTTGCTCACCTGAATATCCGGAATGCTCTGCAGCTCCTCGGTAAAGTTCTTTTTCTTGGAAAAGGGCGATGCGTTGCCATGTGTGGGAGTGTGGGCGGAACCACTGGCTCCTCCTAGAACACTGGACTTGTCGCTCCCCCCATTGCTACTCAAGTGCGGAAACCTGAAGCTGAACTTGCGCTTGGGACTGTGGATGGCGGGTGTCTGATCAGAGACCAGATCAATCATCGATCTTAAAGAGAAAGCGGTTTAAGTTAGCGTCTAGTTTACAGCAGGGTTCGGAATTTGACACACATGTTAAAAACATGAAAAATTGTATTTTACAGTGTGAGCAAAGTTGTTGACATGTGTGTCAAATGCAAAAGTGTAAAATGTGAAAAATAATTGTTAACACACACAGCCGACTTGTGTTTTTAACACAACATGCTATTAACACGCCGTGTTTTTTACAAAATGTGTTTTTAACACAATGTGTTTTTGGCATGTATGTGTTATTAATGTTTCTAACATATGTAGGATACAATTTTTAACACACATGTCAATAACTTTTTTTGAACTTAGCACTTTGACATTTAACATGTTTATAACACAAGTTATTTACAGTGTGTGTTATTTTCCGAACCCTGGCTTACAGATACTCAAGACTTCCAACTCACCTGGCACTAATCTCGTTGGCTAACTCGATGGCATGCTTGAGGATCTTCTCGTCCTTCACTGAAATGGGCTTCACCGTGCCCGACGATTTCTTTTTCGAGAGCGTGGGCAGCAGACCATGGCCATGCTTGTTGCCATTGGTGTCGCCACTCTTTTGGCCCAGCTTGACAGACAGTTCCGCGAACTCGTTCTTGCTATTCACATGATCGAATCCCGGCGACTTGGGTTGGCTACCCGAGGCCCCGCTTATCGATCCGAACATTGAGTTGATCTCGTCCAGCAGTGATGGCCCGAAGTCCAGCTTGTCGGCCGCCATCTCATCGTCCGATATCTCGTGGTATTCGTGGGGATCATCCACAAGGCTCCGGGAGCTGGGCCGCCAACCGGCCTCATGGACACTCTTGCCATCCAGGCCGTAGTTGTTGTTCTGCAGGCCAAACACCAGCTCATCGTCGCCTCGGTTGAGGAAGAACGGATTGGTTGAACCGCTGGCAAAGTCGAAGGAGCTCTGCCCGTTGGTGGATATCAGCTTGGGCGTGTGTTCGGCGGATGGAATGAATGTGGGATTCATGGAGGTGCTGCCGGCGCCTTCGGGGAAATAGCCACTGGCCGTTTGCAGCGAGTCGGGACTGGTGGGCGTCGGCGGCAGGAGAAGTGGCGTCTGCTCAATGTCTTCCGAGGGCTTGTAGGGCGTCACTATCTGCTTGGGAACGTGATTGTACTGAGGATAGATACTAATAGATTAGTAAAAAGCCAGCAAATAGTAACGACAAATAACTCACGTTCTGCGAACTTCCCAGGAAGGCGATGTCGCCGAAGGTGGCTCCGTCAATTCCCACGTGACCGGTGTGCTTAAAGTCGTTCTGTGGCTTTCGAAATCATCTCGGTGCGCAGCTTGCGCTTGCTGATCCTGTGGTCGCTCACCCGGCTGAAGGAGTCGCGGCTGGAGCTGGGCAGACCTTCGAGGAAGGCCACCGTGTTGGAGGGGTTGAAGTAGCCCGTTTTGCCGGTGCTGAGCACTCCCTTCCAGAAGGGAGTGCCCGTGTTGCGGTCCAGAACGCTTATAATATCGCCCTGGCGATAGAGGAGATGGTCCTTCTTGGGCTCCGCACAATTCACCACAGCTTTTAGCTGCTCCGGCTTCATGTCGGGCAGTTGGTCATAGATCTCACCGAAGCGCGGTCGCTTGGCAGCATCGTCCTGCCAGCACTTCATCATCAAAGTGTAATACTCGCTGGGACAGCAGTCGGGCTGCTCCAGGCGCTGGTAGTTGGGTGCATCGATGGCCTCCAGGATCTGCAGGCCGGTCAGTGCCGCCCAGGGCTGGAAGCCGTAGGAGAACATCTCCCAGAGGCAGACCCCAAAGGCCCACACATCGGAGGCGTTCGTAAAGCGCAGATAGTTGATGCACTCGGGCGCACACCACGCAATCGGCAGCTTTAGATTCACATTGAAGTTGGTCTTGTAGTAATCCTTGCCCACGCCCAGCGCCCGCGACAACCCAAAGTCGGAGATCTTGACCTTGTCCTTGCTGAACACCAGGATATTCCGTGCCGCCAGGTCCCGGTGGATGAGGCGCTTCTGCTCCAGGTAACGCATCCCGTTGCAGATCTGCAGGGCGAACTCACAGAGCGTGGGGATGGTCAGGAAGCTGACGCGCAGCCCCGAATCCTTGAGGCACTCGAGCAGCGAGCGCAGATGGGCCAGCTCGGTGACCAGCATGAGCGAGTCCGTGGCCAGGACGACGCCATACAGCCGCACGATGTTCTCGTGCTCGATGGAATGCATAATGGCCGCTTCCTTGAGGAATTCCATTGGGATTCGACTGCATGCGCTCCCGGCACAGGCATTTAATGGCCACTTGGATCTGCAAAGGATGGAAAATAAGTACTTTTGGAACTGGAAAACACCCTTATTCCGACTCACCCTCTCGCTGCCATTGGACCAGACGCCCTGCTGCACGATCCCGAACTCCCCGGTGCCCAGCTGCTTGTTTACGCTAATGGAGTCCGCCGGAATGATGTGCTTGTTGTTGGGCACCTTGCCCGGCGAACTGGCCCCGTTCTTGGCGGCCAGCGTGGAGCAGGCGGAGGCGCCACCGCCGTCGAGCGCCACTTGACCCCCGCCGCCGGATGCCTCCTCCCGCTTCACCATCGTGCCGGGCGCCTGCAGCAGTCGCTTGATCTTGCTGAGGTAGCTGTGCGGGAAGTGCTTCTCGTAGAACTTGCGCAGCCTCCGGATTTCCGGGCGCGAGAGCCCGATGAAACGCAAATCCTCGTCCGCCGCATACTTGAACTGGGCCGCATTCGATATTTTCAATTCGTTTCTGCGGGGGAGCAAATAGAGAAAAAAGAATGGGGGATTAGTTCCGATGGGGGAGCTGCTTCCGCTTTTTGGGTCACTCACTTGACGGCATTGTAGTACTGCTGCAGCTCGGACTCAGTGAGGAATTCGTATAAATCAATTTGTGGATACTCTGGAAGCGGAGAGTGTACAAAAATAAACACATTAAGATCTTGGGTATATATAATATAGATACTATATAAGCGACCGCACAAGAACAAATCTCGGGGGCCCTTATCTTTGATGTGGAGATCGAAAAGGGGGGAATACCCTAGGCAATAAATAACTTCTTTAACGATCGATCCGCCAACGCAGATGTTTTTTTTTGTTGTTGTTTTTTCAATATGATAAAATAAAACACACATCTCTTGCATACCCAAAAAGTTCCGCTCCTCCACCTCTCAAACACACACAAACACAAGAACGCTGGAGGACGTGAGCACATTGACACAGAATTCCGATTGCCTGGTTTTATACCCCTTATTCGTGGACCAAAAAGGGTATATTGTTTTATTGTAAAGGTAAGCAAGAGGAATAAGATCAGGTAGATCCAGATTTTACATATAATCATCAAATGATCTCAGCTTTGTGATCGTAGGGATCTCGGGAATTAAAAGAACTTAAATAAGTATGCACCGAAATTATCATGAAGGTAATATCTTCCAATTAAATTCTAACCAGAAACCTCTTCACATGTATTCTAAAAGTCTTATTGAAAAAATTCAAAAATATCCGTAATTTTAAAAAATCTTTAACTAATATTTAACATTTGATTGCGTTTTATATTTGGAAGCCTTTAAGATAGGCAAGCTATTATAATAAAAATAGGATTTTTTTGTTTTATCTTTTTAGATAGAACAAGTTTTAAGTTAGATTGACATTTCTAGGGAAAATATTTAGGACTACTTTTTAGAAGATGTCAGTGAGAAGAGGGTATCTGCTATCCTAAGTACATCTTTTGGAGCGGAATAAGATTAAAATTAAAGTACATTTTAAGGGAACTGAAGTCATTAGCCTTATAGCATTAGTTAGTTAGTTCACTTTAAGTCAATATTTGGGACAACCATTTCAAAAAAGGTCAGTGAGAAGAGGGTATCTGGTAGTCGGGTCACCGGACCACTGTGTTCTTTCTTGATGTCGCTGCACCCGCATTTGTCATCCGACTGCAAGGGGCCATTGTTTGTCCTCTCCGGAGTTGACACAGTGGGTGGGGTGGGGGTGGGGTGCGAAGGGGGAGGGACTGGTAAAGAGGAGATCCGGGGTGCGAGTTGAGCAACAAATGCATGTTCACAGATTCCGGAGCTGATAGTCCCGGGAATAACTGGCGATTACTGAGTCACGACCCTCGGGAGCCCCTTCTATTTTCCGGCTCCGCCCCGTTTCTTCACCTGATCCCGATTCCGGTCGCACTTTCCCGCAGGACTTCGCTTGTCCTTGAATATGCAAAATAAAATCGATCGGCCAATACATACACGCACACACACAACCGCAAACGCAGCGGAAGCCCGACTACGCAGCAGGAAAAAGGCGTTTCGAAGCCGATTTCCTTTCAATTTTCACCTGCCAGCAGCGAGTTCATCTTATTCGCCCCACAATAAGATTGTTTTCCAGTTTTTAGCTGCTCTTTTTCTGTCAAACTTACCCATTTTACACTCGCGTGTGCGTCTGCATTGTTTTTTGTTTTTTTGCTGCAATTAGTATGACCGTCGCGCGGAGTCGGCTCAAATAGACGAATCACCCTGTTGGCCTTTTTGGTTCGAGTTTTTTGCCGCAAATATGGCGCACCCTGTGGGCCTGTGTGTTTTGTTCAAGTTTTTGGCGCAAAAGTTGAACTGATTTAAATTTGAATAAGGCAAATGGATGCAAAAGAAATTTTTTGTTTATTCCAACGATCGCAGACATCGGTGTTTTTGATGTTTAAAAAAAAAAATCAATAACATCGATGTTTTGAAGAAAAAATTATTTATTTTGATTTTAATAAATTAATAAATAAGTAGAATAAAATAGAGTCTTGAAAAAAAGGAACATTAAAATTGAAACAAAATTAGTTAAGAAAATAGCTGCTACTCTTTGACTTTAAACTTAAAAGTCTAAAATAATAGTTACTTCATGACTTATAAATAAAAGGTGGTGAATAACGATTCATCAATGACTTAAAGTAAAACTTATAACAGTTACTGCCCTGGTTAAGACCGATTTTAAAAAATTAAATTTTCTTCATGTTAAAATTGAATTTGGCATATAAATCGATGTCTAGTAACCATATTCAATTTAAACAATCCTCAATGTTCTTTAATTTTTAACCAAAATATAAAAGCTTTAAATTATTTTTATATTTTGTATTCATTGATAAGTGCAGTGAGTAAGAAGTGAATTCCTCGATTTTAACGTCCGGTCAATGCCTTTTCTACACTCTTCTGTCGTTCCATCGGCTTGAATAAATACATATTGGATCGAATCTGGTTGGATATTCATCGATTCCTTTGGCCTGGCGGGTCTTCTTTCCACTCTGCACATCATCGGAGGCCTTGGCATCGTAGAGGATTTTCCCAATAACAACAGGAACGTGATCCCAAAGATCAGGAACTTCCATGCGAGCATAAAGCTAACTAAAAGATTATTTGCACGGACAATTTCAAAGAGACCAAATTATTCTTATCTATAAAGAAATTGAGTCATTCATATACATACTTTTAATGGAGTGAATTTGTTAGTGTTTTGCAACAGATTTTTTGGGAAATGGTTTTTTAGCAATCGGAGCTTCATTTATTAATTACCATTCCACCATTCTATGATGGACTTTAAATGACTTTGTATATTAAACATAAAATAGTGCTCATATTTCTCATTTCAATTAATAGCATTTATTCATAAACATATGGATTATTTTAGTTATAAAAAACAATGATCGCATCGAGGCGTGAATATTGTGGCGTCTACTGCTGAACGGTGCTCAGAACAAGCGGAAGCTGCTGGGGAAGGCGGTGACCATCATGCGGTTGATAACAGTCTGGATGTGCTCGTGACCCAGGGCGCCGTTGATGGCGGCCAGCTCCTCGAAGTGATCGCGGGTGCGCTTCTCCTCGATCAGCTTCACCACGTACTTGTACATGCGGCCGTAGTGGGCGTGGGCGTAGGCGTGCCACAGGGCGAACTGAATGGCCTTGGAGTCGTTGGCGTCCACGAACTTGATAATCTCCGTATACAGATCGTTGATCTCGGCCAGACGATCCTTGATGCTGTCATCCAACACGGCCAGCTTGGCCAGGGCAATGCCCTTCTTGCTCAGCGCCTCGATGAGATTGTTCTTCTGCTTGTCCATGTTGCTAAAGGAAAGAACAGAGTTAATTTTGGCACTAATAACTAATCTGATTTTCCAGCATACGTTTTGATTTTGGCTGCATCGGCACGAGTATCATTCTTCAACCCATAGTACGATAGCAGTGCCTCGGTATCGGTCTCCTGGATCACCTTGTCGGCTAGACTAACAATGCGTTCCAAGGCGCTACGTAGTTTCTTTTGGTCCTCCTTCTGCTTATCGGAACCCTCGCCTGCTTCCGGGGGAGATGTCTTCTGGGCGTTGGCGAAGGTCAGCGGCAATTGCGTCTTCAACTGGTTGGACTCGATGTTCTGGATGAGCAGCAGGTTGGCCTGTAGGTGCTTGGGATGGGCAGCCACCACCTCGTTGTAGATCTTCTCTGCCATCTCCAGCTCTGTAAGAAGATGACGAATTTAAGTAGCCATAAAAAAGGATAGTATATTATCAGATATCTACCACACTTGGCGATGTGCGAGCACTGGAAGTCGCGCAAGCTTTCGGCATAATCATCGGCATTGGTCTTGCCCTTTTTGGGCGAGGCTGGGCTGGCAGTGCTGTCCACCGGCGGATCGCTCTGGACCGTGATTCCATCACCAGCCGCGGGATTGGTCACCGAGGTGGCCGCCTGTGGAGTTGCAGTAGCCTTCGGTTTGGCCGCACTGGCCGTCGAGGCGGCGGCTGCTGCTGCTGTAGAACCAGCAGCGCTGGAGCCGTTGCTCGAGCCATTCGTGTGCGCCTTCTTCTCGGCCGGATTGAGGATGTAGTTGAAGGGATGCAGGGCAACGCGCCGAGCGGCCTCGTCTTGTGGAAACACGAGGTTGCCGCTCAGCCAGGCGCACTGGGCAGGCAGATTGGCCTTGTTGAGACGTTCCTGGGTAATGGGGGCGATGTACAGCACCCGGGTGGATCCCCTAAGCAGAGCTGTGACGAACTTGCGGCCGCCCACGATGCATTGGTTGTAGTTCTCGTAGAAGTCGAGGGTGAGCGCGTTGGTCAGCTTGAAGGCGGCCACCAGATTGGCCTCCGAGATCTTTTCCAGCAGTTCGCGCTTCTCGTGACGCACCTGCAAGCGAACTGTGTAGTCGCCCTTCTCGAGCTTCGTGAAGAAAGTCTGCGAGTGGGCATCGCCGGTGGCCACCAGGGCCTTGTTCGCATCGTACAGCATCCACATCTGGGACTCGAACTCCGCCTCGTACAGCAGGTCGTTGAAGATCGGTGCGTAGAGGGCCACCTCGGCGGGCTTGGCCACATTCAAGTTGAAGACCAGCAGGTTCTGGTACACCTGCCGTCCGTCTGGGATGACATCCCGGGTGGCACTCAGTGGCGAGATCTTGGCTTCGCTGGGTTTCAGCACCACTGCGGCGTTCTTCAACTGCAGCAGCGGCTGCACATCCTCCGAGACCAGGGCCTCGATCTCCAGCTTGTGAATGCCCCTGCCCGCGTGCATGACATCTGTAGGATATACGTTTTGTTAGTTTAGTAAAGGTAATGCAACTTGTATTAAAAACTTACAGGCATTGGGATTGTGGGCTTCCACGCCGCGGAACAGCAGGCTATACTTTAGGTGACTCTGGCCGTAGTTCGACCAATACTTGGCAATACACAACTCCAGAATCTTGCCAGACTGCAAATAATAAATTAGTAACAAGATTCACAGAGAGGAGAAATTCGATTTACCCACCTTAACCTTGAAAGTCATGGTGGATTCGTTTTCAGAGCCGACAGCTACAATCTTCATGGTCTCGAGTTTGCGGCAGGATTGCTTGGGAAGCAGTTGGTTTGTATGCACGAAAAACTTGCCAATGTCCTTGCCACGATTGGGATCGGTGATGCGCATGCGCAGCTCTTTAAAAGGGAGAAATAAATATTTTTTTTTAAGACATTTTTCAAGGGCAAACACTCACCCGCCCAAGTAGCGTGTTGGGGCACCAGGATGAAGTCCCGCTGAATGGTGTTTGGCTGGAACTCTACGCTATTGTCACCCTTGGAAGAGACGGGCTCAAAAACGGGCAAATTGTGTTCGGAGTCCAGAACATGGGGCTGAACCACTGTGACGGGAATCTCGAAAAGTGATCCCTTCTGCACATTGTCGGTGTCATAAGCACGAATCCTTGAATAAATACGAATAAAAACCTAATTAGGAAACAGTAAGGTTATGCAAGTGGGAAACTTCTTACACGGCGCTGTGCACGCCTGGCTGGAGTCCAGTGGGATCGACACGCACCACAATGCTGCGGGTGCCGTAGCTGAGATCCAGAAAAGCTCCGCACTGCACCCAGGTCTGTGAGGCAATGAGGTTCAGGCGCACATTGAAGTTGAACTTGTCCTTGGGATCTGAAAGGGACATACGCTTTAAAGCCGGAACGAAGTTTACTATAGTTCGAACTCACCCGCTTCCTTGTCGTTGAAGAAGATCGGCTCAATGTTCACGTTGAAATCGACGAATTTGCGCTGCACGCCCTGGCGCAGGTGAATTCCCTTGGCCTGATTGTTGCCCACGCGCACTGAGAACCTAAGGGATAAAAAGGGATGTTAGAATGTATTATTAATTCCCAAAAATGACTAACATAATCTATAAAATATATTGTCTTTCCTGTTTCTACAAAGGAAATGATTATATCAGCTATGGGCAATTCCAGCGTGACGGACGCAACTTTGTCTTAAAAACAAAAAACTGAAGTAATATATTTTTTACATTTAATGCTTAAAAAATATAAGATGCATATTTCCAGGTGAAATTTAGAAAAACTTAGATCTTCGAATCTTTTTTTAACTTAAACTTAAAAAATTCGACTGACGCAATATTTATTTTTTACTTTTTATGTTTTGGTTCGATTGCTCAGACGTATTTTGTATTACTAAAGTGAAAGTTATAAAATTAAAAAAATTAATTCAAAATTAACGCTAGGATACAAAAATAAATAAAAAATATAGCCATTTATTAAAAAATACTAAGTGGTTAAATTAATGAGTTCGCTGTAAATAAAACCGATAAGCTCAAAATACAATTAATAAAAATGAATAAAATTTGAAAAGGTTTATCGTCAAAAAAAAACATTAAACCTGAATAATAAATAACCGGTAAAATTACTTTGGTATATATAAATGTTAATTTGATTTTTGCTCCCGATGAAAGATAAATAATTACACCGGTTTTGCATTGGTTCTTCCTATCCCAATCAATTATCCCCAGATTCGATTTCTCTTATTTTGGCTAGCTGAAACCTCTGAACAGAACCCACCTCAGCATGTTATCCTTGGACTGCCGGTGCTCCGCCAAATGCTCGAAGGCCTTCTCCACATTGAGCAAACCATGGCCCTGGGCAAAGGGATCCACGTAGCCCAGCTTGGTGGCAGTGGCGCTGATCGCCCGCTTAATACTGTACGGCGAATACTCGATGTTCTGTTGCTTCAGTCCGGAGATGAGCAGCGCCACGGCGCCGGCGACATGGGGTGCCGCCATGCTGGTGCCGTTCATCAGCTGCGACTTGCTCATCGTGAATTGCGGCACGGAGGCAATGGCTCCGCCGGGAGCGCACACGGTCACGCCCTGGCCGCCATCGATGCAGGGATCTCGCGACGTCCAGGTGTACACGTTGCCCGGCAGCTTCTCTCGCATGGCATACTCGGCCTCCATCATCTGGGGCGATACGTAAGGCGCCCACGCCGATCAAACTCGGCTGGCTGATGTCCGGCGGAGTGCCCACGGTGCAGAGCGCAGGGCCATGGTTGCCGGCCGAGGCCACCCACACCACGCCGTACTTGTTGACAACCTCGTTCATCAGCTCCCCAATTCGGCTGCAAGAGATTGGTGATAAAGATTAGGTCTCTTTTTATCAGATAAAAATGTGTGTTTAACTGGACGGCTGGAATGTGTCGGAGACAAGAGGACTGGAGTGTGTGAGTGATCGGATTTCGCATATCATTTACCTCGACGCACACACCTTCCTTCTTCTGCGACGCATTTCATCCGACACAGACTCACTAAAAGATATCCACAACTCTGCAATTAGCTGCTGATTAGCTGCGCACTTGCTTACCCGGTGTTCGACCAGTTGGCGTGCTCGCCGTAGCTCATGTTGATCACATCGATGCGCCGGCCCTCGCGACACAGCTCCATGACCTTGGTCATGGCCCGCACCAGAGCGGTTCCGGTCTCCATGGAGCCCAGTCGTCCATCGCCGATGGTCATCGACACAATCTTGGCATTTGGCGCCACGCCATCGACGTCGCGGGAGCTGTGATTCCCGCTGGCAATGGACGAGACATGGGTGCCGTGGGGCGAGCACATGCCCACCACCTCCAGCACGTTGCCCTCGTCGTGGACGTTCACGGATATCGAGAGGAAGTCGTCCACGTTGCGGGTCTCGTGTGTGCGCGAGTACTCCCCGATGCGCAGGGCCTGCTCCAGATCGCCCTGCTCCGTGGTGTCGATGATGGTCAGCCAGCCGTTGGCCGTTGGGAAGAGGACGCAGTCGTAGGAGGTCTTAATGTCGCCGTACACCTTCTCGTAGCTGTTGAGCATCTCCAGCTCAAAGTCCAGGTTCTCCTTGACTATCTTCTTGTCCCAGGGCAGCTTGGAGGCTTCTCCTGCAACCCAAGGGAGTTCATTTATCACTCAGTTGCAATTAAAGCGAGTGATGACTGAGCTAACCTGGATTTTGTGACTCGAACTCGACAATCTTGCGACTGGCATTGGCAGTGGCCGTCTTGTGCGGCTTGTCCCAGTGCTTCAGCTTGGCCTGGGCCACGATGTTGTTCCTCACCTTCGAGGGCACCAGGTCGCTGAAGCTCTTCAGGCCCACCCGCACCGCCTTGTCGGGATCCGTGTTCAGGGACATCAACTCTGGACTCAGCTTCAGGGAATTGCCGGACAAACCCTTCAGGCTGCCGCTCTCGTCCGGCGTCACCTTCTTCTTCATGTCCACATCACCGCATCCGGAGCAGTCGTAGCGCTCAATCACTTTCACGGTTTTCCCATCGCACAGGGTCTTTTAGTGGAGCAGATGGAAGGAGGATGATGAAAGCAGGAAATGAAATTAGTAGGAGGAAGTAGCAGGAAAAGGTGGAGGTAGAAGGCAAGCGGAAGAGGAGGAGTAGGATAAAGCAGCAGGAAAAGGTGGAGGTAGATGGCAAGCGGAACAGGAGGAGTAGAATAAAGGAACCATCAATTGAAAAAAAGAACAGGATGTGTCAAGTGCAATTTTGAGGAGAAAGAAGGAGCACTAGGAGCACCGGCTACAAAAAGTGCCAACTCACCTCCAGTCCCGTTGCCCGGGGATCCACGCCGGAATCGAAGATGGCTATGGTGACGTCGCGACCGTCGTACTCCGGGTACTTCTGCAGGAAGTTCAGCACCCCCGTCTCCGCCTTGGGCACCAGGGCGCCCGTGGGAAATGACTCGACAATACCGCTGGTGGCCATGCTCATGCTCCTGCTCTCCGCTGATTTCTCGTTCTTGGTCTTCTGCTCGGTGTTGTTGTTGCGCTCGGAACTCTCTGCGAATTCCCTGGCTGTGCAATTCAATGGAGAATTCGATTGGTAGGCCGAAACTTGAGTGCAAAAAAACGGTGCAGCTGACTAGGCAAAACACCGCGTATACCGGGAAAATACCAACTCGACTTAAACGTAGTGCGGTCACTCAACTCTACACTGAAAACTTATAAATCCTTTTTTAATAAATAATGGGACTTTTATTTTAAAAGGCTACTATGATGGTGAATGTTGAAAAATGGTTCCTGTTGAATTTTTAAACATCTGTTACATGCTAAAAAGTTTCAAAAATCTTAAATGATGTAAAATTTTATATTTTATTGTTGTTACCGGCTAAAATTGATAATAAGGTAAGAAAAACTGTAAACGCGTTTTCTAAATTGATTTTAAAGTTAATATTGCTTACTGGTGATACAAAAGTGTTTTAGAGTTGCCATTACCTTTATTAAAATAAGGTGACAACTCTGGTTTTCAATGATTCAACAAAATTTTTAACAGCTTCGAAGCTATTAAAGTGCTGAATTTTTAAAAAGTTGATTTTCAATGGAACAGCTTATAAACAGCTGTCCAAAATTTAACAATTCAACAGTTTGGGGAATACCCAGAGCCTTTTCAAAAAACCTTTTTGTTCGTATAATACAAAAAATGCACAGTATTCTCGAATAGTTGTATTTTCCTCTACTCGAGCGTGTTAATATTAATATTATTTAAAAAAATCTATTAATTAATTCGGTTACTCAAATTCAAGTAGCAGAATGAAATTCTGTCACCGTTACTTTCCTATCGGTATTGTCACATCCCTAGTTCAGTATTCTAGTTTCCAGTATATTTTTAAGGAACCTACTGTATTTTCTAACAGGGCATTTCGCGGTCACACTAGCCTGTTGTCTTTTGGAAAATATCATAACAATCTATTTCCCCGACAATATGTGGTTCGAAATCCTACCTGGCGCCGTGATCATCACCACGCTCCTGTCGGTGCCCATATACGCCATGTACGGCCTGGACAAGCTGACCATCGGCAATGTGAGTTCCAGGACCGCCTTCTGGCCGAGCAGCTCGAAATTCTTATATAACCGCAGCTGCTGGTGCACCAATCGGAATTTGTTTAACATTATTTAACGGCCTCCGGGTCGCAATGAGTTCCACTGTATAAAAAGCACTTGCCACGGGGTTTCTAATATTTTTTGTATACTTCACAGGCGTTCCGGCGCAACATGGACGAGCGTTTCAGCCGAGTTATGTACCAGCGCGACTTTCGACTGACCAACAATCCCTACCAGATGAACGTAAGTGATATGCTACAGTCTGGCCTGATTAAAAAGTATTTTTGTAGGCCATTTCTGGCAGCTGTTGTTATCTCATAGAGCTTTTTCCAAAAATGTTTACATTTGTTTTGAGTTTTGTTTTGGTTTTGGTTAACCTGTAATTTGTAGAGGTTTTAAATATCTAATTTCTAAACATTTTTACTTAATTTTATTGTTTGAGTATCACCAATATCTTTTTATGGATTGTTTCTAGTACTATCACAATATTTTTATTTATTATACCGTCAATAATAATATGTTTTATAATTTTTTTGTTTCCTATATAAGTTCTGTCCCAAGGATATAAAGAGCATCTTAAAATATAATTTTAATGTTAAATGGTTTTTAAGTATGTCCTCTTATTTAATCATGTGTGTTATGTTGAATTTGTTTTATTAGTTTAGCTTAATCATTTCTGGTGATTTTTCTAGCAATGTTTGTGTCCTAGTTTTATCTATGGTCCCAAATTTCCATCCGTTTCCATCATCATCCATTTTTGCATGATCCTAAGAACTTAAGAACCGATATCGTCTATTCAGAATCATCTTAATTTTCTTCCAGGGTCTTGATGCTATACCGGATGAGAAAACTAAATAAATTTAAGTAAAGTTTTCCCTTTTAAGTGCAAAAGTGAATAAAATTCGGAAGTGATAGTTGAATTGGTCGTGTTTGAGTTTTTCCTGTAGTTTTCCACAGTTTTGTTTTCCTGCCCAGGTGTAAAACCCTCTTCTTTTTAGGGACTTGAACAAATTCCCGATGAAGAGCAGAAGAAGGATGAAAAGGACCCCAACGAGGACTACGATGTGGGCGATGATCCTGCACTCTTGAAGAAGAGGCTGAAAGAGCGCAAGTTAAAGGAAAAACAGCTAAAGGAGGAGGAAAAACAGAAGGAAAAGCTCAGGGAAAAACAGCTGAAGGAAGAGGAAAAGCAGAAGAAGAACTAGTAGTAATAAAAACAAACATTTCGGCTGTGTAGCTCCCAATTCGAGTAAAGGACTCTCCGCTTTTGCCGCCATTTAACAACCCTGTGTTATCGTGACAGGAAACCACCCCTAAGGGAGAAGTACGGGTGGCGAAACATCCCGTCGTTAACTTTGTGTGGTATTCGGTGAAAAGGCGTCGTCGAGCAGTGAGCGCCCAAATAAACAAATATTTTACCGACTAATTCTTGAATTAAATCGTTAATAATATCCTAACATTCAGGAAGATAGAATATTGTAGAGTTAAACCGTAAAATGTTCGATTCCGTGGGTGCCTGTGGGAATTTCGCTTAGAAACGGTGTGCAAAACCAGGCATATACACAAAACACAACCATGGCTGCCGGGAAATGGGTGGGGGTGGCTGAGCGGGTGCTCCTGGGGGTGATGGGGGTCAAAGGGGGAGCTAGCTTGGCTGTCCTGGGGATGTGCGTGTTCTTCTTCGCCAGTGCCACGCACGCGAACTCCCTGAATGCCATCGAGGAGCCCGTCACCCGGCGCCACCACCAGCGGCATCACGAGCGGGAACGCGAGCGGGAGGAGAACGGCTACTGCGCTCCGTACAGCGGCAAGGTGTGCAAGGAGTACCTAACCGGCCAGGTGTGGTACAGCCTGGAGGATCCCACCGGCGGATGGAAGAACGAGCAGGTGACCACGGCCCTCTGGGACGAGCTAATCTCCGACCTCACGGGTCTGTGCCGCGAGGCTGCCGAGGTGAGTTTGTAAGAATGGAAACTAATTACAGTTCACGAAATAGATGAATCAGATTTTATTTATATCTTAATATAACATTTACTGTATGTTATTTAAAACACATTTTAAAAACTTAAAAAATCTTGCAACTGCTTAATCAAAAGATTTGGATATCTAAATCCATAATCCTTTATTAAGCAAAACGATTTTTAAATATATTTTAAATAACATACAATACATTTTGTATTAAGATTCTCTATTAGTGAATCAAGCGACATTTAAAAATATACACTATTTAAAAATGATATTTTTGTTTTAATTACCACAAAACACCTTTCTAATAGAGTATTAAATTTTATCTTAAATAATTCTTTTAAAAACTGTAAGAATTGTTATAGTTTCCACATTTTCTTAGAAAGTTCCTCCCACTATTAAACCTAAATTTCTTCAAAAAGTACACCCATTAAGTATTTATATATTTTTTAAGCTTAAAAAATTTACAAACAATGTTTTTTACCAAAAAAATTGCTTCTAATTAGAGTATTTGAAATAATCCTAAATATTTATTTGAAAAAAATTTGAAATTCAGATGAGAATTGGGAAGGAAAAACAACAAAGTATTTTGTGGAAAGTTTATCCCTCTTTAAACCCTTTATAATTTATTTATGCAAGTTAATATACTATCATTACATTACAGAAAATGCTCTGTGCCTATGCCTTCCCCAACTGCCACTTGGAGGGTGGTCGAGCTGTGAAGGCTCCCCTCTGCTTCGAGGACTGCCAGGCGACGCACCTGCAGTTCTGCTACAACGACTGGGTGCTCATCGAGGAGAAAAAGGAGCGCAACATGTTCATCAAGAGCCGCGGCCACTTCCGGTTGCCCAACTGCTCCTCCTTGCCGCACTACAACGCCTCCATGCGGCGGCCCAACTGCTCCTATATCGGACTCACCGAGCTCAAGGAGTCGGAAGTGAGCTGTGAGTACCTATTACTTGCAATACAAAGAGCCTTCTTTGATTGTATTACCTATTCCCGAACAGACGACTGCCGCAATGGCAACGGGCGCTTCTACATGGGCACAGCGAACGTGTCAAAGTCGGGCATTCCCTGCCAGCGCTGGGACACTCAGTTCCCCCACAAGCATTTCCAACCGCCTCTGGTCTTCCATCAGCTCCTGGAGGGCGAGAACTACTGCCGGAATGCGGGAGGCGAGGAGCCGCATCCCTGGTGCTACACCGTGGATGAATCGGTGCGCTGGCAACACTGCGATATACCGATGTGCCGTAAGCTCAGATAATCCCCGTAATCTAATATCTCCATCTAACTTTTACTACTCTAACTTCCAGCGGATTACGTTGACCCGAATGCCGGCGATTTGAGTACGCCGATCAAGATGGAAAAGTTCTTCACGCCCTCGATGATTTTCCTGCTGGCTGGCATTGGTTTCGTGGCCATCGTGACACTGCACCTGATGATCCTGCTCGTCTACAAGCTGTCCAAGCACAAGGACTACTCCCAGCCCCCAGGAGCTGCCACTGCCACTGCCGATTGCAGTGTTTCCATGCGCGGAGGAGGAGAGTGCGGCGGGAATCTGAACACCAGTCGGGAGACCCTTGGGAACACCAACACCCTGGCCAAGTGGGGCACCATCCGCAGCACAGCCACGGTTCACAGCAATTGCGTGGCCCTGACTACGGTAACCAGTGTGCCGGATGGAAAGGGCACGAAACCCAATGCCCGCCTGGAGAAGCTGGAATACCCGCGGGGGATATAGTCTATGTGAGATCCCTCGGGCAGGGAGCCTTCGGTCGCGTCTTCCAGGCCCGAGCTCCTGGACTCGTACCAGACCAGGAGGATCTGCTGGTGGCCGTGAAGATGCTCAAGGATGATGCCAGTGACCAGATGCAAATGGACTTTGAGCGCGAGGCCTGCCTGCTGGCCGAGTTCGATCATCCCAACATCGTTCGTCTGCTGGGCGTGTGCGCCTTGGGCAGACCCATGTGCCTGCTGTTCGAGTATATGGCGCCCGGGGATCTCAGCGAGTTCCTGCGTGCCTGCTCCCCATATGCCACCCACCAGGCGCCGACGCGGGATCGCCTGCAGCTGAATGAGCTGCACCTACTGCAGATGGCCGCCAACATTGCAGCGGGCATGTTGTATCTCTCGGAACGAAAGTTCGTGCACCGCGATTTGGCCACGAGGAATTGCCTGATCAACGAGCACATGGCGGTGAAGATCGCCGACTTTGGGCTCTCCCACAAGATCTATCTGCAGGACTACTACAAGGGCGATGAGAACGACTTCATCCCCATTCGCTGGATGCCGTTGGAGAGCATCCTGTACAACAAGTTCTCGCTGGAGTCGGATGTGTGGGCCTACGGCATCTGCCTGTGGGAGGTCTTCTCCTTCGCCCTGCAGCCGTACTTTGGGTTGACGCACGAGGAGGTGATCAAGTACATCAAGGAGGGCAACGTGCTCGGGTGTCCGGACAACACGCCGCTCTCCGTCTACGCGCTGATGCGTCGCTGCTGGAACCGCAAGCCGAGTGAGCGGCCAGGCTTCGCCGAGATCAACCACTGCATCCAGCACAGCATCGCCGAGAGCGAGTGCAAGGCAATGCTCTAAGGGATCAGCGGCGGGGCAAATGAAAGGAATCCGTGTACCACAGAACGATCGTCCGCCGTCTTCCGGGGCATCCAATAGAACCGAATAACCAGGGTGGGTGGAAGAATCGTAGATAGGAATGTCATCCTGGGAAAATTGAATCCATTGCTTCATTGGAAATTTCTCTTAAAACATTTATTATATATTTAGAGCCCTGCTGAATCATTCAATTTTGTTTTATAGTATGCCATAAAATTTCTGATTTGCTTAATTCAATTCAATGTGAAATAAATTGAATGTTTTTCTTATTCATTTCGAATTGAATGAATATTTTTTATGAATTTTTTGAATTTGCCAGTTTTTTTTGTGCTTTCTTTTGAGAACAAAAAGTGGGAAATTTTTAACAAATCAATGTTAACTGCTTAGAAAATAAAATTCATGCAGATTTAATCACAAAACTATGGCCCTTGCTTCTTCAAACGAAATTGACGTTTGAATTATTTTGGAATTCATGCCATTCATTCATTCAATTCAATTAAACTCAAAATTCAAATTCATTATATTCTTTTAAACTCAAAATTCGAATTAATTCATTTATATAAAACAAAAAATTCAAAATTATTCATTGAATCCATTCATGCAGGGCTCTCTTATTTATCCCTTTATCAGAGCAATGACATCCTTTAACTTCTCCTCTATTCTTATAATTCTCTAAAGATGGCACTCCTAGACTATAATTTTGAAATTCCACCCACCTTATTAAACTCTTTTTTACGCTAACATATGCAAATTGATTTGAAACATTGCACTAGGTGAGATCAGAGGGGCAACAGGATTGTGATTAAGTTTAAAGACCACTCCATATTTTTAAGAAATCGATCCAAGTCTTTCATTTGACGCTTCCTCACATAACTTTGTTTACTCCATTCACACACTATTTTGATATGAATACAACCTCTGATCTTTCACCAATCGAATAGTCTGCCACAACGAACGCATCATCAACGTCTCGTACTCATATCTAGTCTGTAGCTTAAGTTTATCTATATGCGCATATGTAGATTGCATTTTAATGGGATTAATTTTTGACTAGGCTTAAGCTCTGCCATCGCAGCACTCTGGATAAACAGAAACCAGACACCGGAGACCATCAAAACAATAAGTTATATGAGATATGGAATATTTAGAGAACTGTCTACAGCCCGAATTTCTGGGTAACTTTACATAATCTTTGTAACTAAAGCAACGTGTTGATTGTAATTTGTATAAATAAACCATCCATAACCGTATCATATCAGCAGTAGTAGTAATTGTAATAGTAATTATCGTAGTAGCAACGGTTATAGGTTGCGGGATAAGGTACAGGTAGAGGCACGGGGATAACTGCGCCGTAACCAGCATATCCTCTGTAGCCATATCCTCTGTAGCCGTATCCCCTATATCCGAATCCTCCGTAGCCGTATCCTCCTCTAAAGCCTCCACGACCTGGTCCGCCGAATCCTGGGCCCCTTCCTCCGAAACCGCCTCTTCCAAAGCCACCGCCGCGACCTCCACCGAAGCCACCTCCACGTCCTCCTCCACCGAATCCTCCAGCATGACCGCCTCCGCCATGTCCTCCTCCACCACCTCTTGCCTCGGACATCTGTGACAGGGCCACTAGAAGCATCACGCACCACAAGATCCACAATCGGGACATCTTCTCCGTTCAGAACCTTATCGATTCGTTGGTCAATCACGACTAAGTTCAGATGACTGGGAAATTCTGTTTATTGCAAACTAATTAGGACACCCCCGTTAATTGGCAATGCGAGCATGAGAGCATGTATTGAAAATCCCCGATCGAGATACTCTTATTTGTTTCTGTATTTGCGTTTTTTTCACCTCACTCCGCCGATTCACACACTCCTCGATATCACAGCAGCCTAAATGATTAGGCATCAAATGGAATTTGTTCCTTAACCGAATGAACTTAAATATATAGATGGGGGATGGGCCGGGCACGGAGCTCTTTACAGCGCCTCTGGGCATTGTTTGTTCTTGCTGATGATCAGCCTTTCGGGATCCAAAGAGAGCCGCTTTAGCACGTCGTAAACCTTGGAACGGACGTCCACCTCAAAGTCCCGATCACGTCCAAGGATCCAGATCTGGTCGGAATGACCGAGGGATCCAATGCTGCCGCAGGACCACAGAATGGCAAAGTTATCGTAGTCCGTGTAGAGCACCTGATACTTCCCGGAACCTGGCAGAAGTCGGGCGATGACCTCCGGAAAACGAGTGGTGAACTAAGGATATAATAAAAAGTGAAGGGAGGGAACTATTAAATATATTCTTTAATATTCGAAAAAAAAGCCTTACCTTAAAATCCATGATGGATGATCGACTGTTTTCCGGCGTAGCATAACCGATGTTGACGTTTGGATTTCCAGTTCTAAACGGGGGAAAAATGTTGAGAAATACAAGAAGGTTTAAAGGTTGAGGTGACCTACATGCGATTGATGTTTTTGATAGCCACCGCCAGCTTGAAGTTGGAAAATTTGGATAATTCCGCCTTGTTGTACGGCTCAAACTGGAAGGTAGTGCATCCAGAAGCTATTTCGGGAAGGTAAAACGAGCGCTCCACCTCGAACCAATGGCCAAGGACCTAAGTAATAATTAAATTAAATTAAATTACATTTTTTTCATATAATTTATACCGTAAGTTTAAAAATATATCACTATGGAGAAAGTAAAAAAGTGAAAATTTTGTATTTTGGAGCTGTTGGCCGGTGGATCCATGTATGGATCCAATCTTTGTTCTAGAATCCTGTAGTAATGGCACATGGCTCATGGCACATGGACGTGGCACATGGAACATCGAACATGCCACATGGATCATGGCACATGGAACATGGAACATGGCACATGGCACATGGAACATGGATCATGGCACATGGAACATGGCACATGGCACATGGAACATGGAACATGGCACATGGCACATGGAACATGGCACATGGAACATGGCACATGGAACATGGAACATGGCACATGGCACATGGAACATGGCACATGGAACATGGCACATGGAACATGGAACATGGAACATGGAACATGGAACATGGAACATGGAACATGGAACATGGAACATGGAACATGGAACATGGAACATGGAACATGGAACATGGCACATGGAACATGGCACATGGCACATGGAACATGGAACATGGCACAGGGCACATGGCACATGGCACATGGAACATGGATCATGGCACATGGAACATGGCACATGGCACATGGCACATGGAACATGGAACATGGAACACGGCACATGGAACATGGAACATGGCACATGGAACATGGAACATGGAACATGGAACATGGAACATGGAACATGGAACATGGAACATGGAACATGGAACATGGAACATGGAACATGGAACATGGCACATGGCACATGGCACATGGAACATGGCACATGGAACATGGAACATGGAACATGGAACATGGAACATGGAACATGGAACATGGAACATGGAACATGGAACATGGAACATGGAACATGGCACATGGAACATGGAACATGGAACATGGCACATGGAACATGGAACATGGAACATGGCACATGGAACATGGCACATGGAACACGCTGCAATAGAATCTGCTTTTGAAATTAAAATTTACTGGAGCGGACCGAATGAAAATATTTTATAAAATATATTTATTTAATCGAATGTACAAGGAGTTTTCGTCACAAAATTGATATAAGATATATTTTGTAAAATAAGCATTTATATCTTTGTTCGCCTAATCATTGTAAACATATGGGATACATATGTTTACCCCAGTGGCGGATCCAGGATTTTTTTGTGGGGGGTGATATCAGAACAATTTTTTTGTTGCATACTTTTTGAATAACAAAATTTCTTTCATTTTTCACGCGAGTGGCGGGTGATATATCACCCATATCACCCCCCGTGGATCCGCGCATGGTTTACCCAGTATTCTATTCCAGTCTACAAAAATCATTGCTTCGTTGTTGTTTAACCGGTCTTATCAGAACTTATATAAATCATTCTTAGGGCTTATGTGTTGGAGAATCGACTTTGGGCCATTTACCTGAAACCCAAAACCTTTCTTGGACTTGGCACGCTTTGTCACCCAGCGTTTCTCTCGGTCAAGAAATACCTAACTGGGTTACTAATCCAGCCCCCTACCATCCGTGCATACCACTTAACCCAAACAATGCGTAAAACGTAAACATTTTGGGAACTGGTTTTTGGCTTTGGCTGTTAACCATTGAGAAGAGTCGCACTTTTGGCAGCAGCCCATCTTGCAGTTCAAAGTCGGAGGGCGCCGCATTGTATTTAACTGCTGCTGACGATGATCCGAGGTCTTTGCCCCGGGTCAAAAGAGGGCGTTGGGGGCGGGGACGATGTCAAATGGTTTAATCCACGCCTGTCAACAGCTCAATTGGATGATGTGCCAGTTGGGGAAGTGGAAGGGGCAGAGGAGGTCGCCAGAGCCGCATAATGTGAATCACAATGCCTCTTTCTCACTCGGGCAATTATGGTGCATTATTATTTATGCAAATCAAGGCTCAATCAATTAAAGTGAGCTGCTAAAGTGGTTGAGCCAATTTTCTAGTCTATGATCTCAGCAGTGCTCACTAAGCAACAGTGGAGGTGTAAAATATTCCACTTATGGTTTCGGGGAAATAATAAAATATGTTTTATATAGTCTTAAAAAATTTCCTAGATTTCACTTCGAAGTGCTGTGACATAGAAGAGAAATTTGTTATTTTGTTTTCCAAAAAATGTCGATTTAAATGAAAGTGATGTTAACTTAATGTTCGAGTTAGGGATGTTCGACTGTAATACACTTTGTTGTCCTTGGCATGCCCATGTCTGAGCATTGGTACTGGTTGATTTACTTCTTTATAAAATAAGTGGCTTGTTTACCATCGGACAGGCCATAAAGCTTTTGTGCCTCTCGTCTCCTTCTGTAAAACTGGTTTGCATTTTACACGGCGGATCGGATTTGGTGGCCTTAAATTGGTTCAAGTTCATCTTATGCACAATCCACGAAATGAAGAAAGGTCTTCGTCTTCGGCTGCCGCCTTGTGCTAATTAATCGAAGATTTGACACGTTTAAGATGATGGCAAATAAACGATGACTTGCGGATGTCACAGTTGTAAGGCGGTGAAATTCCAGGGGATTTTAACTAGTCTTAATAAGTAATTCCAGAACTCGAAATGAAAGTTGCTAAGTTCTTTTGACAGTCTAATCTAGTATTACAAAGTAATTCCTTTAATAAATAACTCAGCTGGGCTGTGATATGTGTTCTTAATAAGAACTTCTTATAAAAACCTGAACTGTAGACTAAAACATGGATCTTAAATCTAAAACAGAAACAATTTTTTAAAATCAAAAATATTACCAGTGAGTATTATTAGCTTTTACAGATCTCAAGATCGTATGAACACCTTAAAATAATCTTTTTACCAACTTCCGGTTCAATGGGGTTACTTACCCGACTCATGTTGAACTTTGGCATCGATGGGTAATTCGGGCAACGTCCAAATCCGTAGGCACTTGCCCCAGCGAATGTCAGTGATAAAACCGCGGACAAGAGCCAGACACTCCGGACCGCCATAACTGTGTGTTTGCTTTAGTTTTTAGTTCACTTAGAATATTTGGCACTTGGGGCGGCACAACAGCACCCAACTAAACTGTGTGGAATTCGAAATCAGGTAATTTTCATTGAGCGCGACCGCATTCACTTGGCTGTGCACAAAGCGACTTCCGATCCGGCGGGTTCACTTGGCCAACGAACTGTGGATCAACTTTTATACATTTACATTTCCTCAAAGTAACCGCGATATTCCATTGGTATTCCGGATGGGAAGTGTGCGATAATGAAAACGTGCTGTCTACCGGCTTCGTTGGATTCACCTGGACGACTTGGCCTGGTCAGTCGAGTCCCAAGAAGAAGTGAAAACCACTAACTGGGTTGGCGGCGCTGTTTATTTATTTTTCTCATATTTATTTCGCTTTTGGCTCGTGCCCGGCCAGCGGGTTACGTAAAAGAAAAGCCAACGTCAAAATGCAGCCCGAAAACTGGTTGCTCCACCGATTTTCGCACACATGAAGCGATATTGCGCATTGCAAAAAGGCGGGGTAAAAGCGAAAATGCCTAATCGAGGAAATACTGGATGCATCAATTGTGTCATGGAGTTAGTCGGGTGCATTGCTCGATTTATCTGCGAAAGTGGGCATATATGCATGTACAAGGTACATTTCTTTAGGTTCGTTCGAGCGTATCAAGTTCAAGACAAATAGGAAGACTTACGGTATTACCGCATAACCATGGAAATAACCAATAAATATTTGACCAATCAATAGAGATGTGAAAGGTACTACGACTTTTACTTGGGTACGGTACTTGCTAAATAGCGAATGAAGATGTTCATTATATTAACTAGGTTATCAGTTTCACTTGTTTACATACGAAAAGATGTTTTTTTTAACGAAGGGTTAAAAAGAGAAATTGGTTCAAGAAAACTGTTAAATATATTTTTAAAAATTATTTCTATATTTTTTACATTTTATAGAATTTATTAACAAAAGATGATTTTAGTCAGGGTACAATAAAAGTACCTCTTAAGGGTACAATATAACTGACACCTAGTACCTGGACCTGCACCCAGGTACAGACAAATACACACTTCCCACCACTGCCAATAGAAAGAGTGTTAATTTCACAAAAAACGACAACAACAAGTGGCACAAAATAAGCCAAGGCAATTGCAAAATACTCTTGTTGTCCAGCTGATTTCACTTTGTGCACATACAAGTGCGCGTTTCGTTTCGCGTTTTAATGCCGTGCAAAATGCACTTGCTGTAATGCAGTTTTAACTGAATTATCTTTGTTTACATCGTTTGTAGCAGTGTTCTTTGCCTGCGCGGGTTTTATATCGCCAAGTCGAATCTCGAATAGCGAAACGCGGTACGTTTACATTGGATCGACCGCTCGCGGCCACCGTTAAAAAGACAGTGTGGCCAAACGAAAATTTTGCTTTTCCCTAAAAAATTCAGTGAAAACTCTTAGCCAAAACTCTTTCTACTTTGTGAGACTCTTCCATTTTCTTACGCTCTTACGCTCGCTCTGCTCTCTCTAGTGTTTTGATTGCACTTTACGTTTTGATTGCACTTCACGTTGTTTCGATACGTTTTGATTGCACTTCACGTTAAAAAGAAACGGTCATTTCAAATGGTCACACTGCTCGGTCTCCGCTCTGCTAATCGATATTGAATTATCTTTATTTAGGTTGTAGTCTTGGCTACAGAAATGTAAGGTAAATTATAACGTTTCCACTATGAAACTGTGAAATAGCTGGCTCGCGGCCACCGTTAAAAAGAAAATGATTGGCTATTTGAATTTCAGTTGGCTCAGCCACATGGTGGTCACACTGCTCGGTGGCTTATTCGCCTATCGATATGAAATTATCTTTATTTATTTAAAAGGAAAGAAGTCGGATTGCTTAACTGCAGCTCTTAAAAATTTAAAAAAAAAAATGTACAAGCTATTCAATTTTATACAATGCTTTTCAGATTTTTCGGCATGAAATGTGCCTTGTTAAATCGGAAAAGAATTCATATACAGCAGGTTGTAGTCTTGGCTACAGAAATGTAAGGTAAATTGTAAATTTAATGTATAAGAGCCCGTTTTCACTATGAACGCGTTGAGTTTGCAACCATTTTTGGTGATTTTTGATTTTATTAATGCGGTTATTCCCAAGGGCAGATTAAGAAAATTCACCGCCCTACTTAGTTTTCAATTTAGACTAGACTGCAGCCAAATTTTCTCCTTTATTGTTGTATTGACGCTGCCTATGTTGCCTACTCTGTAAATCCGCCCTTTTTTCTCAGCCTATACGACTTTACGCCTATACCTCGAATTCTAAGGAGCAAGAGGATGTGTTTTTGTGGATCATCCATATCTTAACGTAAATTACTTTAATTACTTTTTGGAAAATTACTTTTTGCAAAAACAGACAGATGGACAGGTGCATTTTGACTGGGCTATTTATTTTTATCATTTAGATATTCTGGTACTACATGGTTTTTTGACGTCATTTACTTCCACAGAACATTTTAAATCGTGTCATAACTCATATGAAATATATTGACTCGAAGATCAATCCTGTTATCATATTTTTGCAATGTACCCCATTGGTTCAAAGGATATTTGTATTCAATTTTTATTTTCAATTTTTATAACAAAAATTGGAGAATGAAACTTATTTTCAATTTATATATAACAAATTGGAGAAAAAGACTTATATACAATTTTTTTTTAAATAAAGAATAATAATTATTTCATAATTTTTATTTAAAAAATCGTAAGATTTACGATCCCTTTTAATTACGAACAACGAAAATGCATATGTATGTATACTAAAGGAACATATTTAGCATACAAGATGGGTAAGGGCTGGTATTAAAAAAAATGTCAACAAAAGATTTCATATGAAACAAAAGTTTTTGACGTTATTGTCATATGAATTTTTTTGTTTTGGACTACTTTTTGTTAGGTTGTTATAATTTATGTTATAATTTATTCTAAACTAATACAATAAATTTCGATATTTTTCGTATTTCAAAAATAGCTTTTTCCTTCCCGCCAAAACCCGTTTTATGCGAATAGCTGGCAACTCTGCTCCCGAGCTTTCGCGCCTCTCTTCGAAAATGTTTTGTAGCATTCTCTTTTCGAAGCCAAAAAATCGCTCATACGCAAAGTGTTATTGTGTGGGCCTCTGAAGCATTCTCTGCATTCTCTCTTTAAAACTCAACGAGTGAGGTTGGTTTTTGTTTCGTTCGCGGATGGAAAAGTAAAATAGCGGCGGCAACATTTCTTATTGTTCTAGTGCCCATCAAAAAGCAGAAACCAAAGAAAAAAACAAAGGAACGAAGCGAAAGCAAAGTCGTTAAGTGTGTGCGCGTGTGTGTGGATGTGCTTGGGAAATTTGGCAACAAATCGCAGAAATATTTGTTGTGCCAACAGCTAAATATTTAAAAAGCATTGCAGAAATACAATTTAACATATAAACTGCGCGTGTGTGTATGTGTGTGTGCTTGATCTACAGAAAACAATTTATTGAAATGCCGAATTTTAATCGAGATTAAACGGTACCAGAAAGAGCGTTCTTCATTGATGCTGTAAACAGCTGATTGTTTGGCTCTCTCCGATTCGATTCGATTCTCTTCTGCGGCTCTAATTGTTGTTGTGGCTGGGGAAAATTTAAATGTTGGCCAAGTTTGACTAGAAAACTACTAAATATAATGCGTGGCCCAGTAACGTGTCAGTGAAAACTAGAAAATCTAAATTCTGATGGCACAGTGTAGAACGCACTGAGGTCCACCAAAAATCTACATAATTTGAATGTTATGATTTCTTATCGAAGACCCGGGGCATTGAAAAAACAGAGAAACAATAATAAAAACCTTTTAAAACCAAGCGGAAGCAACCCACGACATTGAACTTAGTTTTTGAATTCAGACAAACTTGAACAACTCGATTGTATTTTTTGTAACTTAAGTGGCTTTATTTTATTTTGACTTGAATAAACCGGATTTGCGTTAAGTAATATTTAAATTCATAAAAATAAGAAATATCAAGTAAATAGGAGTTACAGTTTAGTCAATTTTTTTATAGCATAGCTCTACACCCAAACATAATATTTATTTTAAAGAAAACAATTTGTTTGTGATGTCTCGCGTTCAACAAAAGATTCATTGTATCTCCCCTTTTTAGTTAATTTTACGGAAGTTTGTAAAATTCTTCACACGTCTACTCGCATTGCCTCGCCTTCCTCTTTTTCTCCTTTATCGCCATCTTCGCGTCGAATAAAGTGACAAAAACATCAGAAGAGAAGAACAATAACAAACGAAAGAATTTCATCATCATCGCAATAAAACCACGACTATCTTCTGTCTCGCTGAAGCGAAACGCAAAAAAGAAGCCAGATAAATAATTTAAAAATATTAAGAAATTCAATACGAAACGGCATTATTTTTAAAACAAGAATAATCGGCAGTGTTTTGTTGATTTTTTGGCATTAACTCGAAATTTGTAGGAATATTAATTGTTAACGTGGCCTTAAAAACTCGGTCAACCGTGTGAGTAGAGAATATAAAAATTCAGCGAAAATACAATTTGTTTACTATGTGTGCCAAGCCTTTCCGCCCGTCACCACCCCCGTCCTCCTCCACCCCATCCTTCTCCTTTATTGATTTGCATTTGCACAGAGAAATTGTGGGCCCTAAATTCTGGCTCTGGAATTTATTGAAACTTTTATTTTGGCCACCTAACTCACGTGCCCACCATACAAACACACACATGAATACCCAAAAATATCCCAAGGTTTATAAGCTTCTTGTCACTAATCAATCACGGGGCATTTTCTTTTTTACATTTTCCCTAACACCTGAAAACAAAGTACATTTCGGCCGAAAAGTTGCAAAAACAGGGCTACCAAAATACCACGGGCAAATTGCGGTTACGGTTGTGAATTCCCACTAAATAATGCAATATATTTTTATTTCCACGAACCACAAAAATTACTACACCTCATCCTGCGGATTAAACAACAATAATTATATCTACGAATTGCGTTGTATGAAACGGTAAGTGAAACAACCACATCCCTTGAAAACCGACACATATTACACCCCACATCTTTAACTGAGCTTAGGGTTTTGCCCAATTTTGGGCTTGGTTTTTGTTTTGGGTGTGTTCCTAATGGGTCTATGAAGACGTTTCGGCGATCCTCTGCACGATATAGGGAAAAATAGCGTGCTTTCCATCTCCAACCCTCGTTTCTAGTTTCGTGTCTCCTCTCTCCACCCTTGGAAGCCACCCCGAAATGTGAAAACTGTGTCACAGGCTGTTGACGCTGCGAAAGCCAGGAAAACTAGGCAAAGGAGAATACACCGGAATAAATTTCGAATTTAAAAGTTCAAGCTAAAATTTAATTTTTACTCGAATTCAGCTTCTGTAAAAGTTTTTTAAAAACGTAAAACTTATAAGGGTTCTTAAGGGTTGGAAAGAAAATGTTGTTCTCTTGTTCGGAATAATTTATAATTTTTCCAGAGTAAATTGAAAACAAAAGTAAAAAAAGCTTAAGACATTTTTTGACTGCCTTTTCCAACCCCTCCATTGCCGCCACTCTCTTTTTCTACTCTTCCCTCTCTTTTATATCCTCTCTCTCAGCGCATCCTTTGCCGGTCAAAGCTTTTCCTCTAAAAAAAAAGCTTCCATGAAAAAGGGAAAATATGATTTGTGTAAACAAACAATGTGCTCTGAACGGTGAATACTATTTACGATTCTTCTGAGATTTGTTTCGCACACAGGACGTTGACAAATCAATGCGGGGGCTCTAAATTATTTAAGGTTGCCCTGGCAACCCTGGCCCTTAAAAGAGTCCTCATGCGTGGTCACAACATTTGGCCCCGGGGTTCGAATACCTTTCAGCTAAACGTTGGTTAACAGAGGCCGAGCAATTTGACCGCCGAGTCTATTTGCTGGCCAATCAGTGAGATAAGGAATGGAAACCGGGTGAAAAATCAATAAGCAAGGAGCAGGAACTTTCCTTGGACGGGATGCGTAACGGTTTCTAGACTGGCTAGACCTCGTTTTTAAAGAGCGAAAATCGATGGGTTCTCGGTACCAGTTTCAATCGATAAACGAGTTTTGGAACAGGGCAAAGTCGAAAAGTTCCCAACTGTCCGACACGTTGTCTGTCTCAGAGAATTGTGTAAAATTGCTCAACTGACTTTTCCCCCCAGTTGCTTTCATTTGAACTTTGGCCCGCACAAAACTAAAACACGCAACTGCCCCTTTCCCTTTTGACCTCTGACGTGGTCTCAGTTGCGTGCTGTCGAAATTCGGATCAACCTGCGTATGCTTAATGACATTAGCTGCAAATCTAGCATACGCCCAGTCTGCGCTCGTTCGTTATTTCCTTTCGCATTTCCAAAAATAGCTCAACCTTGACACTTGGAAATGGCAAACAAGACGAAGTTCAGTCGTTGATATCGTGGCTATAGGGTAATAGATTAATCGGGCTAAATTAAATTGCAATTTCATTTGAGACTCTCCATGCATGAATGACTGATTAGAGCTCTCTGGCCGGCAACAGTGCACTTAAATAAATGGGTGTACTCTTTTTTAATGACCGGTATCGGTAAAATCTATCTGAGAGTTAGAAAATTGTATGTTTTATCTGGCAATCACAGCAAAGGTACATAATTAAAATTTATTTTTTATTTCAAATGATTCATACAAAAATTAAATTATTTTTGGGTTTTTCAAAGTTTTAATCTTAACTTTTTCGAAAATATCCAAGCTATTATAATCACCATTTGAAGTTTATAATTTTAAATTATGTTTTTATTTGTGTGTGTTCCACAAATCTGAACCAGCGCCTTATCAATTTGAATAAAACACATAGCGAAGAATACTCACTGAAATGACATCATGGTTCAGGGTATTTCGAACTGATGGCGGTGTCGTCATTTGACATATTTTATTGACCCATTAAGGGTGCAAGATAGAGCCTGTTGCTGTCTTTTTTATTTAGTTTTTATGGCCAGGTGCCAAGATCCATATCGAGTCATAATACTCATTCATTAATAACCATTAAACGCGATAAATGCAAAGACTGTGATAAGATAAGGTGGCTCAAGTGTGAGTTCCCTGTCTCGCCCACTTTTCAGACTTATTCATAATTTTTTTGGCGACCTTCAAGCCTGTGGCTTGCATTTTTTTGCGATCGTCGGCTTACGATCGGATTGAATCGGCTTGGCTTGGATCGGATTACCCAATCTCTATTTTTAGCTCTGGCGTGGTAACGGAAATCATTTTCAATATTTATTCGCATTTGAATGTGATTAGCAATGCGCACTTGGTGTGCATCTCAAAATGTTTGCACACGGAATACCTTTCTAGAGAGTACTTAGACCTAAAAAAAAAGTAGTCGTAAAGAATGCCCGAGAGGTGACGCCATTTCTCAAGAGGCGGGGGCATTCAACCCGCAACCTCTGACCCCTTTGGAGGTGGCAATTAAAACGGAAGTACTGGCAACCTGTTGCCGTTGCCCAAGCTCATTAAATTCGAGCTTGGGAAGCGGGCCGGCCGCAGCCAGTTGGCCAATAGTTTGCATGAGCCGCACAGTTTGGCATTAATTAGCCGGGCCCAGCGGCTCTTCTGGGAATACGAACTATTACCACATATATTTTGCAGAACTTTCAGGTACACGGCGGAAAATAATGTATAACTCTTACAGTTTAGTTTAAATATAATCGCGAAATAAGGGGGTTTTTTAGGGTTTGATTTCATTGAACATTGAGCTCAATCAGAAATTTATATCATGCTAAGTTAGTGAATTAAATTTATTTCATGTTAATTAATAGAGTTTGTATGCTTTTGGCGTACGATGATGATTTGACAGCTTGAATATTTAATATGCGAGTTCGTCAATTAGTTTTTCCCTAATTCAATTTAAAAGCAGTGATCAACCAATTAATGAAAATTATTTTTCTGATTTCATTCTGGTTATTTTTCTAATTTAACGCCTAAAAATGATTGATAATTAAATTACCGATTACATTCTGAGCATAATTTATATTAAATAGCTGTTAGCTATATTGAATAACGTATCTTAAATTAAATATGTATATTAAAATTTAGTTGATCTTGGCGGAAAAGTGTTTTTTTAATTGTTTAAAATGAAGATAATAATTTTTCAACATTAATGGTCTTCCGTACCATCTGCTATGGTAATTAGATGGAAATTACAATTTTTTCATGTGTCTTTGTGGTGCTTTTCTTGAAGATGTGGACATTTTTCCCACACACCCGTTAGATGGCAGATCTCTGTCAATCAGGGGCGATGGGAACATGTGTACTAGGGCTGCTGCCCCCCGAATAGAGGCGTGGCAGACGACATTTTCCCCAACGATTCGTGCCGCTTGCCAATGGTTAAAAATACCCGCGAGTACTTGTTGCTCTCGTAATCGCCCTCTCACTCGCACCTCCCCCCATTTTCGCGCCCCTCCGCGTCGCCCTTTGTGCCCACATAATGGAGAGGGGTCAATAGACGACGGGCCAGTGGCTGAGAATGCTCGAAAAGTGTTTTGTACTTGCTGGGATTGGAGAGTGGAAAAGCAGAAAAGGCAAGTGGAAAATCAGTGGCGCAGAAAGCCGAAGAATGTAGCGGCCACAGAGAAAGAAAATTTGTGTTCCAAAGATTGTGATTGCTAACTAGGAACTTACATGTGCCATGCTGAAACTCACTCTAAAATCATAAAATGGTAAAAATTATCAGTATTAAAGTAAATATGTTAAAAACTGATCCTCTCTAAGCTCAAAAATAATATAATAATTTTTTACAGTGCCCTAATATAGCGTGCGTGCAGATAGAAAAAAAAATAAAAGAAAAGAAAAAATACCACAGCTCCAATTGATATTAAACAGATAATCGCCAGCATAATAGCGCTTTTGTTATTGTTTTTCTATCGCCGAAAACGCTTTGCGCATTTTCGTATTTTCGCGAAAATTCAGCAATGAATGGGACGAGGGCACGAACCGCACAATGTTTTAGGCATTAACTGCAACAAGTGCCAAGGGGAATGAAAGGAAAACATTTTCTATTTTCCCCACAGTCGTTTTGTTGAATGCCAATTCTCTCGAATGGTTTCTAATAAATCTGTGTAATACAACCAGCCAAAGGCGGAAAGAAACAAACAACGAGAGGTCTAAAAATAAAAGCAGAACAAACACATTATAAACAATGAGATGAAGTCGTAAAAAAAAGTGTGGCTCCTCCTTACGTCATTTCTTTTCTTTCTCCGTCGCGACCCCAAAAACTATGACGTCAATGCCAATAGGGGCCAATAGATGACAGAAGAATGGAATAGTTGGAGTCACGCAGAATACGGAGAACAAGTGTTCCACATCACATCTCTGACACGAGCTACAGGCGCCGGCGCAGTGTCTTCCGTTTGAATACGTACTGTCGGATACACAGATTCTTTGGCATCTGAGAATTGCTCTCGCCTCGGAGAGCGCAGATCCCATAAGATACCATCCGATTCAAACCGATTCCGAATGCGAGCAGTTCATTTCAGTTGAGTTCTGTTTCAGTTCGGTTCGGTTTAGTTCCGTTTTCTAAGATTTCGATTTCGATTTTTATTTCAATTATTTATTTATACCAACTAAAATTTATATAAACTAATATAAACAAGTTAATCTTCAAATAACAACCGAATCTATATATTCTAAACTTCCTCTGGACTGTGTGTGCTTTTGTGAGTGGCCGGATTTTTTCAACTTTCATATTTTCCCAAAAGAAAATTGTACAAGTTCTTAAAATAGAATGCGATGAGGATGGGTAGCAAGAGGGGGATTTAGATCTTTAATGGCTGCCCCGATACACAAATTCCTCTCATCTCAAACCCATCTCGGAGATGCTCTCGCCAGCTGAGAAACACCCACTAAAAGACTCTATTCCCGCAGAACGACAACGATGATGACGACGATCTGTGGGATTAACTCGCCCTGGAACTGAACGATGGATCTAGCAGATCAAATCGATGACTATATCTGTTCGTTCGAGGGACTTGGTGACTTAACAATGGACTCCCTGGCCATCTTCATTTTCCTGTGGGCCGTTCTGGCCCTCTTCTCGGTGTGGCTGATCAAACTGCTGTACCACAAGTATCTCAACAAGGACAAGTCGGCCAGTGCGGCCAACAGCCGCCAGACGAGTGTGGCCCCCACATCCGGATCAACGTCATCCGTCGCCGGCAAGACGGAGAAGCGTCTCTCGGAGCCGCGAGATCTGCTGGCCACCAAGAGCAAGGTGGAGGATTTATCCAAGCCCCTGACCGGCGGATCCGGCGGTCGAGGGCGCTCCTCAGCCTCGCCCTTGAACACTGGTGCTGGTGCAGCTGCCGGAGGTCCACGTCGCCGGGTGGTTCGTCAGAGTTCCACTGGGCCAGAGAACCGCAAGAAGCGTTATGTGCCACCGCCATCGAATGTCGTGGGTCCAGAAACGGTGAGTCTTTAGATATAAGTGTCAGAATATAGATCAGTTGGAACGCAAGGATTATTGAACAATTTTAAAATTATATGATGCTTTATAATCGTTTAGAGATTAATTTTAATAGGACTCCTAAATTTATATCAAAATACAGCTTTGAGGTCAATAAACTATTTCTTTCTAATACTCAATTTTAATGATAGCTACACAGAGAAAAAAGACCAAAAATAGTTATCAATCGGGTATTTTTTCATATCAATTTTAGTCCATTCTGTGTTCATATCAGAGAGCTGCTAGATTGTGAACGGATTAATGATTTCTTGTAACGACGAAATAAAATAGGGGGAGAGTGCACTTCAATGTATTATATGTTTAATGAGAAATATTTATTCCATATGGAACTTTTTCCTTTCCGTTGGCCTGACAACGTGTAGGTTCCATCTGATTTTAGTTCTAAAACGCTTTCGAAATCTATTACTTGTTGTCCTTTTGTGCAAATATAACAAGAGAGAACGCTATAGTCGGGTTGGTGTCCCGACTATCTAATACCCGTCACTCAGCTAAAGGGAGTGCGAACGCTGTGTCGGGTTGGTGTCCCGACTAATAATAGTAACTCAGCTAAAGGGAGTGCGAGGGAGATAGATATATGTTGACAATTTATAAAGCGTATAACTTTTTACTGAATGGTCCGATTTGAAAAATGTCTTCTACATTTCGATAGGTATAAATATACACAACAAAATTGCATTTATACTTCTCGGAAATCTTTAAAGATGTGGGCGCAGGACCCATTTTAAAATCGTTAGTGGGCGATTGTGGGCGTTAGAGGGGGCGTGGCGCTCGGCTAAAATAAACTTGCGCTGCGTAGGAAGCCAAAGAATATGTGTGGAAAATCTCAACCTTCTAGCTTTTGTAGTTTCTGAGATCTCAGCGTTCATACAGACGGACAGACGGACAGACGGACATGGCTAGATCGACTCGGCTAGTGACCCTGATCAAGAATATATATACTTTATGGGGTCGGAAACGCTTCCTTCTAGCTGTTACATACTTTTGCACGAATCTAGTATACCCTTTTACTCTACGAGTAACGGGTATAAAAATATGTTGTACAAAATATAAAGCAATAACACGAACTGCACGGTCATACCGATGGGCGCAAAGGACGATCAACCAATCGATTGCACAAAATATTCGATCACAAACGGGTAAAATCTTCAAGGCGAACGTTCACACACGATCAGATCATACACTTGAACGATCACAAACGATCATTCATGGGACGATCGCATTCGCTCACCGCTCATTTCGTTTCGCTCACCCGAAGCGATTAATCAAAACGGATACGAGTAAATGATCGGGTGTAAACGAAAATGATTGACTCGTTGCAGCTCTCTGGTTCATATCTAAATTTTACTTCCCAACATATGATTTTGTACCATATTGATATGAAATCCTACCATTTTGCTATGGAAAAATTGTTATGAAACAATATCAACTCCATATTATTCCGTTTTTTTTTATATGTACATGAATTCATATATTCTTCTTCATCTGTTATTTAAGAACTTCTGAAAGTGTAAGTATTTACGTTTCCATTAAATTAAATTCCATTAAAACTATTCCAACTGATCTGTAAAAATAGCCTGTAATTTGAATTCTTTCTAAAAATCATAATCTTCCAGAGCTCCGTCACCTGGACCAGCCAGGTGTTCCGCTGGCTCTACAGCGACCTAGTCATCGTCAACGAGCTGCTCATGTCCTGGGTGATTGCCATCAACGACACGCTGCGCAAGTCCGTGGAGGAGGTGAGTCTGGGACCATCCAGAGGATGGTTAAATGACATCAGACAGCTCGCAGCTTTGACATCATTCGTGGCCCGGTCTCTGATGTCATGGCTGAGCCCGACTTGGTCTTTATTGGCCGGGCATTAACCTTTGTTCTTGGCCCGCCACGACATTCAACTTGAAATCGATGTTCAGCTCTTCGTTCCCCTTCTCCAGCGAACTGGGAACTCGCTCAGCCGTAACTGATGTTGAAACGCGTTTTGTTTTCAGTTTTCTACACCCTGTAGTCGTTGGATCGAAGAGTTTATAGGGTTTGCTAGTAGATTTGTGAGAGGTCAACTTTAAAATAAGTTAATGCGAAATCCGGGATTGACGAAAGCTAATATTTCTTTTATTTTGCTAATTAAGGTATAAATCTAATATATATTTGACGTATTTTAAATCGATTTAAATAATTTAAAAAATTTAAATAGTACCTATTAGTTGGTAGTTTGAGTCAAAATGATAGATATAATTCCGGAGATGTTCTTTACTAGTCATATCCATTTTTAGAAAATATAGTACAAGGAATTTACGCTAAGGGGTATCTAAAAACCGTAATCCCTCATTTAAGCCACGCTTGTTTTCCTCTGATTTACTTTTTTTTATCGCCTTTTACGTGATCGGAGCCAGTCGTAGGCCAAGGTCGGAATTCAGTTGTTAGTCATTATCCCGTCTCTGAGTTGTGGCCCCAAAAAACGCACGCTGCTGAATTACGTAATTCGCGAATAAAAAATCCAGAGATTGAAATAATAATAAATTGAAAATAAATAAATTCTCTTTCAATTGCAGCATGGAGTGGCCGTTGAAGTGGTTCGAGTGCTCCCCGACAGTCCTGCCCCCGGATTGAATAATATATTTTGTAATTGCGATGAGAACAATCCCGCTGATATGGTGAGAAGTCGATGGGCTGTCAGTTGGAGCTTTAATCACTTGAAAACCCCATTTTACAGCTCATCACCTTTGACTGCGATGCCATGCCGGTGCTGCAGGTGAAGACTTTCCGTCAGAAGGCCGGCAAGGTGGAGACCTCCCACTATAAGGTCACCGTGTCAAGGTTCCGCGCCCGCATGGCCATTCCCATGAACTACAACACCCTCAAGGGTGAAATGCGCGTCGAGGGCTATCCGGATGTGAGTAACTAAACAGCTAAAAATTATAGCACATTTACTGATTTACGGGAAGCATTTTAAGAACAAGATTATAATAACGTTTTTCATTTAAATCTTTTAACAATTCCTTCTTTTAAAAGTCATTTTCTAAAAAATCTTTATTTATTGTAAAACTTATGATACGATCTTTACAAATTTTCAATATTTTTCAAACATTTATTTATTTTCTAATAATTGTAAAATATTTAGTACAAAGTGTTAAGAATAATTAAAATATTACCCTCCAGGGCTTCGCTAAAATTTAAAAGTACAGGCATTTAAAAAAATGTATATGAATGGTAAATTCTTATATTTCAATTTGCACATTCACCTAAAAATGTTGTGTTCTCTTAAATATAATTTAATGTGTTTTTTAATAAAATGGTATTTTAGGGGGATTTTTAAAAATATTTTCCGAAATACTTCCCAGTGGTACCATTTTTATCCGATAATAACCATCATTTCTTCTATTTCTAAAGGTTCGCATCGCGATGAACAGCGTGGGTGCCATCAAGGCGATGGACCAGGACGAACAGCAGCTGCAGACGGTGATCAGCGACATCCTGACGACGGCTCTGCGCGACACCGTCTACCCGGTGGACTTCTCCATCTACTCCACCTGTCCGCGGGCCGAAGTGGAGCCCCTGGACCTGCCCGTAATCTATCCCGTTCACTATGACTCGCTGGCGGTGAGCGTCGGGAGCAGTGAGAAGATGCCAGCTCCTGTATCCGTGGCTGTGTTTTGTTTTGTTACTTGTTCTCCGTATTCCTGTGTCCTCGAACACTCGTCATCGCACACGGAACTCGATTAGAGACTCTCTGTACAGTTACCCAAAAACAAACAACAGAAAGACACTTCTCATTGCTCTCGCCCACCTCTGTGTTTATGGAATTCGCCTTTTCTCTATCTCTCAGCTCAGAATTCTACACCACATTTCCCGTGTTTTCGTTGAGAATTCGTATTGTTTCCTGCCTGTTTGATCCTCGAAAGTAAAAAGAACTCTCTTTTGCGCTCTCTCTTTTCAGGGCAACCAATACTTTCAATATTATTACAATTTCTAGTGTCTGTCACGCATTAGTTCCTGATTAAAGGCGAATTTCATAAGCCCCAAACAACCCGACTTTTGTTCACTCTCAGATCGACCTTTAAACCCTTCCCCTGATCTTTCTGATCTTTTTCTATTCTGTGTCTCTCTCGCTGCACTCACTCATTGCATGTTGTCCTCCTTCATCCCACACAGCACAACATGGAGCACCACCTGGGCGGCGTGGGTCTGAGGGACTCACAGCACATGGTTTCCGGCCGCCGGCTGCTGGTGAAGATCGTCAAGGGCGAGGGAATAAGGGAGGCCCAGAATCCCTATGTGGTCATCGAGATGGACGAGCCGGCCCAGAAGAACCAGACGGGCACTCAGCGCGGCAGCAAACCCTTCTGGGATGAGCACTTCCTCTTGTAAGTGAAACATAATATTTATAATAGGTGATCTGTCTAATTTAAAAATTTAACAAGATAGTGGTTCACAACAAAATGATTCAATAACCCAAAGATTATTAATTTTAATTATTTTATTCCAAAGTCTAATTTAATTGTGGTGTCAGTTATGATGATTCCATTTTGTTAGTAATATTTTTGATATCTTTATTATACTACTTTGTATTATTTTATTATTTTACTTTATTTAATAATAGCTAATGATGTTATCTTCTTTTTTCTTCCTGCAGTGAACTCTCCCCCCAATCAGCCGAGATCCTGTTCGAGGTGTATGACCACCCGGTGATTGCCTCCGATCCGCCCAAGTTCCTGGGTCTCGGCCTGGTTGGCATCGATGAGCTGGCCGTGGGACCTGCTTCCACCCAGCTGCTGCAGCTTCAGCCACGCCCCTATGAGACGCAGCCCGTTGCGGGGGCCATCACCGTGGACTTTGTGTTCATCGAGGGCGCCGAAATCCCGGCGGGCACCCGTCCGCAGCGTCTGAAGGAGGCGCTGCGCCTCAGCACGCCGGCCATCAACGAGCACATCCGGAATGGAGCGGACCTGGCGGATGCAGCCGTGCGGGCTCTGCAGGATGGAGCGCTCTCGGGCAGCGGAAGTGGTGGGCAGCCCAGCAAGAGCACGCTGATCATCCACAGCGTACAGCGAGTAAGTGTTTTAATAGGAAGATTCCGTCACGGTTGTTGGGGGAAATATATTTTGATATATATTTTATCAAGAAAAACAAAAGTGGCATTTAATATTTTTAGAGGTCTCATACATTTCGTATCCTCTTTTCCCCGTTTTATTGTTTTTTAATTTCCTTTATTTCTATCTTTACCTTTATTTCATTTCATTCCCGTCTCTGATCCCGCCCAGAACTCGAACGGCCCGAATGCATTTAAGGTAAACCCCCCGACATGGTCATAATTTCTTCAGTCGTTCTTTTGAGTTACTTGAGTTACTGCGTCTCTAATCCCGCCCTCATGATGGTCTAGAAGTCATGTAGGCTAACTAGTTTCTAAGCCAAGCTAATATCCAAATGTTTCTCGTTCCGTTTTGCTCTGCCTAACCCCCAAAATGCGCTTCCCTAACCAAATCCTCGAACCGATCAGGTCGAGGTGAACAAAGAGGGCCAGATCGAGGTGACCGAAACGCCGTCCGAATTGGATCAGGCCGTGGCCCAGGCCTTCGAGCGGGCAGCCAACGAGGCCAAGGATGAGCTCGAGCTGGAGCAGGCCAAGGAGGAGAAGGCCAGTCAGCTGGGCGAGACGCTCAACGATTCAGGTAACGGCACCGTCAACGAGGAGAGCACCGCGGAGGTAAGTGGCCAGAGTTCAAGGAGTTCACAGGCATGGCATGCAGTTTGAGTTGGGACTTAGGATTAGATCCGTTATTAATATATCTCGAATCACTTGCAGTTTGGCCAACCCAATGCAGCATCATCGCCGAATGGCAGTGGTTATCACAACAACTACAGCCTCAATGGCAACGGCAACTCGAATGGAGCCGGTTCGGGTGGATATAACACCCTGCCCCGGAATGGAGGAGGGGCCCAGCAGTTGGGACAGCAGCACTCCGGATTGATCGAGGGCCATGATGTGGTCGACGATCGCGGGCGCAGCAAAAAACGTAATTTCTTTGGCACCCTGAAGATGCGGCTCAGCCGCTCCAAGACACGCACCCTCTCGGCCGATCAGCCCAATAATAACAGTCATAAGTCACTATCAGCCACCAACTCGAATACAGCAACAGCCACCGGATTCCCTCGAACAGCCACCGGAACCCTCAATGGTGATTCTTCCCGTTCATTATCTGTCGATCGTGCCACTCTGTCCAAAAGCAATTCACTTGGTAATTACCACCCAATCACGGTCCTCCGCCAGTGTCCACGTTTTAACTATTTGAGCCCGGCTTAACGCACATATTTTGGACTACTCCCGCATTCTGCTAATAACTCTGCGACGGGACACTCATCACATTTAATATCTCATTCGAGATCTTGGCATTTTACCCGTTTATCGCAACTATTAATTGCTACCTGCACCTTTTCCTTACTCGTTTTTTTAATACTTATTTTTATTGTTTAATTTGGGATATTGAGATTAATAGGCTTTATAAGAAATCAACATTTATTTTGATAATTGCTTTCATTTTATTTTTATACCACATCTTTTTTACCTTAAGATTTTTAGTGGCTTTAGTGGGAATTTATTTGGCTATCAAAATGTATTAAAATTATTTTTAACCAGACATCATATCTCACGAATAACTTTATTACTAAGTGTAAATTGCTTTTCTCCGTAGACATTTAAGTGTTGTAATTACTGTCGTATTCAAAGCTTGATCTTTACTATATGGTAATTCTATCTGTATCTGTATCTACATCTATTGTCTGTTTTATCTTCTCTCCCCTAACACTACTCCCATCAAATGCTAACTGAACTGTGATCCACAACACGAATCTGTATGTATTCCATGGTTCCTTCACACGCACACCAAACACTTGTTCCAACAACAAAAACACAAACTCGGTTGAATATTTTGAAATATTTTGTAAATATTTCATTCTTTTTTTTTGGATTTTGGTATTTGAATTTTGGGTCTGCTCTCACCATCGACCTGTTTATAACTCATTGATTCGACTTAATTTTAATTATTTCTCATACTCTTTTCCTATTCTTTTCTTTTGTTTATTTTCATATGTGCAAAATATGATTTGATGGGTCTTAACGGGTGCTTGGTTTGTGTGCCACTCTCAACTTGCCAAATAAAAAACACACACTTAAAATCAATAAAACGCAGGACCCCGCATGGGCATTGGTCACTCCATCACCGACCACTCACGCCGCTCCTCAATTTCAGAATCCTCGGCCATCTCAGGCTTCTCCTCGGCCAGTAATAAAACCTATGTGCACGAGGCCTCCACCCTGGTGCTGGAGACCGTCGAGAATGGTATAAAGCGGTGAGTTTTAAGTACATTTGTAAATACTTCAACTATTAAAGGATCGGATTCTTTTGATTCCCCTTAGCCACTTTATTGTGCCTTTGGCCATCGCCCAGAGACCGCGCTGGCGTCGCAAGGGCACCAAGCTGCACATCTACAACGATCACACCTTCATCGCCAAGCATTTGAGCGGGTAAGTTTTATTATTAATAGATTATAATAGGGCATTCCTAAATGTTCTAGTAATGTAACGTAAATATCGGTATAAGCAATTGGTTGGCCACATATATGTAATGTATCTTATTAAAAGATCAACTTACATAAATGGATTTTGCAATTAATTAATGAATCACGTAATAGTGTGTGGACAGTTCCAATAAGTTTAAAGCAGCGCTCGGCACACACATACGATGACATTTTGATTTATATATGTGTAAGTAATTTGCACTGGGCAGTTCATCGATGTGTATGTGCAGACTGCTGTTCTACAGTGTCCGAGAGAGGCAGCGGATGAGCAGAGCAATTCCCTATGCTCACTTAATAAGACGCTGCCGACCGCTGGTTTAAAGATTAAATATAATTTAGAGCCAAAATCTTTTCAGTAATGTTATTTGTGTGAACTATAAAATAGAATTAGTGTCCTAAGTAAAGTTACTAAAAATGTTCAGTTAAATTGTTAAAATATTAAAAAAAATTAATTTTTTGAATGATGCTTTGAAAGGAAATATCATTTATTAAATAATTCTTTTTTTTTAATATTTTGCCAAAATGTTATTACCTAAATAAATGGTATATTTTTCCATTGCATTCCAGAAGCGGCCTGCAGTGCTCCATTTGCATGAAGTCCATCCCGCGGAGGCCCGGAAAGCAGGGCTACGAGTGCCGCGACTGCCAGCTGATCTGTCACAAGCAGTGTCACATACGGGCACCCCAGGCCTGTCCCAATCCCACGGTGCTCTCCATGGAACTGTAAGTGCCCCTTGATCCCGGCCAGCTTTAGATACCCCCGAGTTCCCGATTCTGATTTTTTTATAGGGAGCTAGCTGCCTACCCAATACTAATTTATTGATTTCGTTTTATTTTTCTCTTTCCACACACACACAACACAACACACAAAAACGCACGCACACCCAACCCGAAAACAGAACGTCATTTCCGGTACTCACAGAGAGAGATCTGAACCTAGTTAACTAAATCCTTATTTTGTGTCCTACCCAACTATCTGAATATTTATTCTTTTGTAAAAGCCTTGAGTCCGCCAAATGCAGTTTGATATTTACCAAGAGCAATTTTTGATTTACTCATTCCTCTGAATTGGCGTCAGAAGTGGAAATTTTGGCTTTGCTTTCCGGCTTTCGCTAGCATCCGAGATCGTTCATGCACCTTCACCTCGCTTGGCCACGCTGTTTCATTTTGTGTATATTCTTTCTGGGCACTAATCTGAGCTCTTTTTCTCATGGCACCCCTCACAAAATAAAAACCACAAAAAAAAAAAACCACCGACCACCCACCACATGGACACAGGATGGCCAGTGAGGAGTAGAAAAGTCCCAGCGACATCACAGCACCTTTAGCCAGTAAAATACCATTCTTAAATGCTCCCCAAGCGATGTGCGAGGTCATTCTGACGCCAGATATTTCAAGAGAACATACACAATCCTCCTTCGATTTGAAAAATAAAAATAAACTCCAGGGTTCTAGATTCGTTCAGCTGCAGTTTTGAGAGGTTCGAGCGTTTTCCAGTTGACCCTTGGGCAACTGGGAAATCGGGGTAAGCTGTCGACGCATTCGCATGAAGTTCCTTGTTCTGCTCCACTGTGTTGTGTACTAAATTAACACTCTTGTTCGGTTTTCGATCGCACTCCGATCGATACTAATGCAATTCCTCTCGAAGGCTCTGTTTATTCGTTAAGATTCGGCCTAATACGATTTGAAGCTTATTTTGATATTGTTGTTTTTTGTTTTGTGGGTGCGAAGAACCAAACTAATGATCTCACATTCTTATTTTCACAGAACCAAACTTAATTCGGCTGCGGCAGACCGCAGCATACGGAAGCTGTGAAAGGGGAAGCCCCCCGGAGAGTCCCATCGGATCCATCCAGCCCTTCAACGAGAAACCTTAATCGAAATATAATACCCTAGTTACATAGATAGGACGGAGGAGCTGTGCAAACTATCTTCTTCTGCTATGGCAATGATCGACATATTACGTTATTTATTTATACACCCACTCGAACACAACACACATATGTGCAATAAGTTCTTTGGATTCGTTTTAACCCATTTCTCCGTGTCAACGTTCTCGAGCCCTTTGATATTTTGTATTTTCTACAAACACGAATAATAATTGTACAAAATAAATGAGAACTGGTGTTTTCTTCAGTCAATATATCGAGTCTAAAGTGAGATAATATAATTTACATTCTTTACAAATAATATTATTAAAACAATTTTTTTTGGTTTTAAAAGTATTGAAAATTGTTTTACTGCTTTTAAACATTTTCTTTATAAAACGTTCCATTTTTTAATATGTCGCCTACGGTATTTTTGTTGTTTAGACTCGATATCGGTATTCTGTGTAATTTTGGCAACCAAGCGAGGATCAGAAACAGAAGGAATAGAAAGACTACGGCTGATACCCCAATATAAAAAAATAATCTATGTCTAGAGATCTCTTTGGTGATTGTAACCAATCTGGTAGAAATTATCTTTGGCGTTCCACCGATAAAACCGTCCTTGTACTTGGCCGCTACTGCCACGTTGTGTGTCTTCATGGGCTTAATAAACTTGAACTGTAGATCGTATTCGGCTAGTTCCCTATACCGGATGGTCTTGTAATCGTCACAGATCAGGGAACTGTTTTCGGGTGCGTAGCACCAACTGACAAAGTAGCCAACAAGATCCTTCTGATCCTGCGGTGCCTGCCAAGAGACGGTGAAGTTGTCTTCGTTATACCGCAGATTCTGAGGCTGATGGCTACTACTTTGTGCTAGAATGGGCACCTTAATTTGCCTACTATTTTCCGAGAGTCCCAGTGAGTTCTGGCTCCAAATGGAGACAACAGACGAACGCGTGGCGTCCCAGTCGTCGAATAGAGCAGAGTTGTTGCTCAAGAGGACCGCCCCCTTTCTGAAATTATAATGGGTCGATTGAAAGCTTTAAAGCAGATAAGTGACTTGGTTTACCCGGTGTCCGTGGTCACGACATATGAAAAGTTGGGCCCGTTAAACTCGAGTTCATTCAGCTGGATCCACAAGATCTGGAGCTGCCTCTTTTCTGGGTTGTAAAAAAATCCGTTTGGGACAAACTGCGGTGGGCGAAACGGAATGTCGGGCGAAGTTGAAAAGGTCAGCGCATTGTAGTCATCCCTCCAAGACTCAAGTCGATCGGCGTAGCTACACGATAATTTCAAGTCGTATTTCTGATAGGGGAATGAGGGTATATCAAAGCATAGCTCCTCTTCAAGTCTGAAATCTTCGGGGCTTGGTCTAAGAATCTGCTCCTTAATCCCTGAGTTATGGGGATTCAGCTCCATTTGCCAGTCTATATATCTGTCACGATATTTCCCGTTATCGGATTCCCATTCCAAACAGCACTTTCTATCCGTTATGGTAAATTTCATTGGATCCCTAAAACACGGCATCTGAGCCCCGCAAAAGCTCATTTGCCAAACGAAAAGTACCAGTAACCGCAACCTCCAACTCATGACTGATGCTTAAAAAATTGTATTCAATATGTATGGGCACATTTTTGTTTCAGAATAGCTTATCGCTTATTCTTCGGTTTCTTCGAATTATAGCTTGACTCATTTCTGCTGGAAACATTTTCGGCAATTGAGCTAGCATTAAAACAATTTTTTATGACCTATTCCTATGAAATGGATCCCTATCTAATCTATATTTAATAAAAAAAATCATTTGTCTTAAAACAATTTTTTTTGTCAGATTAAATTGAAGATATTTTTTTAATCAGATTTAATTGAAAATATAATAAATCGGGTTAATGATATCTTATTAGCTCTGAGTGTATGTACAATTTTTTAAGGGAACAGTTTTCCTATCCATGCTTACATAGGGATTTACATCTATTTGGGGATCAGTTTCAACAAAGGTGCGCACAGGTATCTTAGCGATGTTCATTACAGCTTTTGGGGGAAAGTTTCCGGGAACGGCAGTTTCAGCTGGAGGATCGAATTTCGGCTCCATCGATTTAAATAGCATGTCAGGGAGCTCTACGTCGATTTGAGCCATGCGTTGCAGCTTCCGGAAGAGGAAGTATATCGGTCCAAGCAAGACGACGACAAAAGTGAACACAATAAATAGAGTTAGTTCGGAGGATGATTCGTAGTACTGGTTTCCAATCCACCTGGAACTGATCCACTGCATTCCACCGCCGATGTTGTCCATATAATTAGCAGCCACGCCCACATTGGGTAGCACCATGGAACCTTTGAATTGGAAGTGATCCTGCGTTCCATCTAGCACCTCAAACTGAATCAGTTCGTGGTCGTCGCACATCTGCCCACTGTTTATGGAAACTGAACACCACGAGACGGTATATCCGATGAGTTTATCCTGCTCCAATGGCGGCTGCCAAGTAATTGTCAGATTATCCTGGTGATACCACAGATTCCTCGGCTGATGCCTATTGTAGTTCGTGAGAATGGGCACTTGTAGTTCGCTGCTGTTTGCCGATCTTCCCTTGGAGTTTTGACTCCAGACGGTCACATTAGATGACTCCGTAGAGTCCCAATCTCGAAAGAGAGCGGAGTTGTTGCTTAAGATAGTTGCCGACTTACTGAAAATATGTAGCATGGTAATAATATTTTACCTACCCATTACTTGGGGATTAAAAGAGTATGTTGGATTTATTAAGAAGTATGTGAAAGGATGCATTTTTATACCCGTTACTCGTAGAGTAAAAGGGTATACTAGATTCGTGCAAAAATATGTAACAGGTACAAGGAAGCGTTTCCGACCCTATAAACTATATATATTCTTGATCAGGATCACTAGCCGAGTCGATCTAGCCATGTCCGTCTGTCCGTCTGTCTGTCCGTCTGTCCGTCTGTCCGTCTGTCCGTCTGTCTGTCTGTATGAACGCTGAGATCTCGGAAACTATAAAAGCTAGAAGATTGACATTTTGCATGCAGATTCTAGGAGTTCCTACGCAGCGCAAGTTTGTTTCAAAAGGGTGCCACGCCCCCAATCGCTTATATACGATTTTACAAATTTCAATATTTCGGAAAAGTAAAAATGCAGTTTTAAGGTGTTTATCAATACCTATCGAAATGTAAATCGGACCATTCGTTAAAAAGTTACGGCGGATCAAAGTTTTTATCCTTTAGCTGAGTAACGGGTATCTGATAGTCGGGGCACCCGACTATAGCGTTCTCTCTTGTTTAACCTATATTTCAGCAGTAGCGATAAGCTCTGCTCGTTCTCTGCCGCCACACAAACAATGTATAATCCTTCTTCACAATTTTTTGATTTAGATCAGAAGGTTTTCTAATTTTCTTTAAAAAACATCTCTCTAAACGTAAACTAAATAGCTTACCCTGTATCTGTAATCACGTAATACGTAAAGTTCGGTCCATTGAGCTCCAGTTCGTCCAGCTGAAGCCAATAAACGAACAGATTCTTCTTTTTCGGTTCGTGGAAAATTCCGTTTTGTATAACATCAGGAGGTCGTTCGGGAATTCTAGCGCCCGTTATGAAGTCGGGAGTTTCAATCTCCGAGGACTAGGGAGAGTCCCAAAAGGGATATCGCCGCGATATAAGCATTTTATAGGTCTGATGTGCATACGATGGAGTCGTGAATCGGTACAATTTAATCATGTCCAAAGCCGTAAATCGGATTTTTCTCTGGATAAGATGTTTCTGAATCCTAGGGTTACGTGGCAAAAACCAGACTCTCCACTCCAAGTTTTGGGTACTGACTCTATCGAACGACCACCAAAGGTGTATGACGCCATCAATATCGGAGATATGTAGTTTACCTGTTGGCCATTCCGGCGCAAGGACTTGTTCAAGGACGATTTGGAACTCCTTGGACTGCTTGTATCCTTCGTACTCCATATCTATCTTTAATTGGTATTGCTTAGTTGTTCTATTCATTGGTATTCCGGGGCATTGAAACCTGGTACCGCGACTCTTTTTGAAGCACTGGATTCGTGGCATTTGATTAGCACCCAAGAAGTAACTTTTTTCGCCACCATAAGTGGCGTATCCGGCCTCGCTGAAGTCGCACGATAATTCAGTTGCATTCGGTTGAAAGCGGCACTTCAATTCCTCCAGATGGATTAAGGGCACTATTGCTACCTGGTACTTGGCCACTTCTGTTTTGTTATATCTGCAGTACCAATGCAGGTTAAAGTGCATATCGACGTTCTCTTTTCTGAACTTGATGGTGAATTCATCGACGAGCTGCGTTTCTTTTGTAAAGTTTAGCCAGTTGACAATGCTGAGATCCTGTGATCGCACCATGGAACTATTACATCTGCAAAACACCTCGACGGATCCGCCGACCATCACTGCTCTAGGTTTACTCCACATGACCGCATCACAGGGCTTTTCAGCTCGACTGCGTATTGTAAGCACACCCAGTAAAACCAGCAGATGCGACCTCCAGTTCATGACTGCCTCGAATGATTGCATTAAATCCCATTTTCCCTGATTAATGAAGCGCTTGGAGATTTTACAGCCGTTGCGGAACTTCTTATCGCATGTTATAATTTTTATTTAAAAAAAAAACAAGTATTGAAGTATAATTAAATTCAGTATTTTTAATCTGCTTAAGCTGCTTGATTGTGAAGATCGATTCATTTATTTTCTGTATTAAATTTCTATCGTATGTTGATTCCTGTTAGCAGTACCAAGAATTAATATTATGTATTACATACTTTTACACTTCAACGGAAAGTAAATCTATTTACAATAAGAATTATTTTAGGCAGTGAAGCAAAACGTTCATGATTTATATTCGATTTTAGCTTTTCGATCAGAAATCTTCCTTAAATAGAAAATAATTCTTCGTAGTAAACTGCGGCTTACCATCGAATAAAAAAGTTAATATCAGTAAATAGTCTCCAGTTGGCAATGGAACCGGAATTTTAACATCATAAAAATCGCTCAGCGACTGCAGGCCCTAAAAAAAAGTAAAAAAAAAATGCTTTAAATTAGGTTGATAGACAACATCAAAAGGAGATCTCACCACATAAGGACAGGTGTGATTCACTGTGGATACGTTCTTTATCATATCCCAGATGATTCTGGTGACGGGATGATTTCGTTTTCGCATAAATTGACAGGCATCGATGGTGTAATCATACAGAAATGGCTTGTATCCATTCGCTCTTTTCAAAATCTTCACTCTAAGATGAATGTTGTAGGCTGGGTATATAAATGTTACATTTATATTTAAGCTGGTCTTGTTTCGAGCATACGCCTTTAGTTGACAGTAATGAAAAACGACCCACGACTTGTTGTGGGACTTGCAGATGGCATTTGTTTGCTTGATAAAGGGCGCCTCCTAAAAAATAGGGATTATTATTTGCATAAAATTCGATTTATCAGCGATATTTTACACTGCAAACTAGAAAACAAACAGGCAAAAAAACCCCAAGAACAATTAATTTCGAGTACATGACTGATTTTTTTGAACAACAAGTGAAGACTGCGAATAGAAAATGCTGTAGCAATAATATTAATATTGCACTCGATGATTATTTCAATTAAACAAGCATGACGGTTAATTAAAAACCAATTTTTAACTGTTTAAATTTCCATAAACGATCTTAAGCATACAAGTAATTTGGATATTTAATCAAGTTTTTAATAAAAAGTGTGTAGATTAAATATTTTTTTTGCCTTGGTAACTAACAATAAAAAAAAAATTTTTCGTGTTTTTAAGTTTCTTGAAACTCTTCAAATAACAGCTAAATCTGTAAAATCTTTTTTGATTTGAAAAAAGTTTGAAGCATCTCTGAAGGGGAAGTCAGGTATGAAGAATCCTTAAAGTCTTAAAAATGTAAACACGGTTTTTCAGAAATATTTGTTGACATAAGGGGGGTATGGTTAATTCGGCCAAAAAAAGGCCACACCATACGGTTAATGCTTGATAAATTATTTTAGTATTATATCAAAGTACAATACTTAAACTATATTTTCTGAAATTTTCATTAAAAAATGAGCCGTCTGCGGCCAATCTCCGTTGGCGCCTCCAAGAAAAGAGGTTTTGCGGTGAACAGCATAACTCATTACTGGATCATCAGAAAAATATAAAAAAAAATGTCCATTAGTTGTTCAAATGGTCATATTTTTTGTAATTTTCATCCGATTTACATGAAATTTTAACACAACATTCTTAACGTGTTGTACATTAATAAAAAATTAAAAATAAAAAAAAAAAAAATTAAATACCATACCCCCCTCCCATAATTGCAAAAAATGTATGAATTTAGGACGTTTCAAATACGATTATTGTCCTTGCGCCAATTAGAACTTTCCCCTATTGGCAACGCCGTGCTCATCTAACATCGATAGTATCGACACAGCAGAGTTGCCACCGCCCGTGCCACTATCGATAGTCCGAGGGCCAAACTGCCGTCGCTAGCGAGGGGTGAGAGGAACAACAACATTTGTGGGCTGCGCGTTGAGGAAGTGCATGTGAAATTTTCGTTCGTAGGACAATTGTTAATTATCCACTGGCCGAATTTGCCCCGCAATCACGTGTCCGTGTGAAATGTGAACGGTTTGTGGTTCTTACCTTGCGCGCTGTCCGCTCTCCTCGCAAAAATCGAAATCGGAATAAAATTAAAAAACAAAAAATAAAAACCCAGCAACAACAACACGGACGGGCGACAAAGCGACACGCCTCGCGTTGTTGTTGTTGCTGTCGCGTGTGTTTTTTATTCGGCAGCCACTATTTATTTATTTAGTCAATTTACAGGCAAAAACAAAAGTGCTGCTCATAAATTCTAATAAATTATAATTAAAGTGCAACCGCATTGGCAAACAAAGAAGAGGAGGAGATAAAGAATATACTGAGAGAGAGAGAGCGAGCGAGAGAGGGAATAAAAAAACGAGACGTTCTCTCGCCTTCTCACTCCCACCCCCGCGCTTTCTCCACCTCCTCCTCGTCCACCCTTTTATCAAAATTTGTTGTTGCTGCTTTATTTGCTGTTTTTTGTTTTCATCGCTCTCTTTTTTTCTGCTGTCTGCGTCATAATTCGCGATTCTCTAATTTCGTGTGTGTTTCCAGATTCACCGATCGGAATCTGATTCATTAGAAGTAATACATGTATATGCCGATATATATAACATACAAAGTCCAGTTAACCTTACGTAATTGTAATTGTGTGTGATTCTAAGCGACCAAAATGCATCTCGATCCCCAAATCCAAAAGTATCTGAAATTCGCCAGCTACGTGTGCTAAGAAGTCAAACAAAAACGAGTAGAAGCGGCGAAAAGAGTGCAAAACCAAGCAAGAGTATACGAAATCGAGTTAAGAGAGATCCAGCAGAAGGACTCGATCGGCCAAGCGGAAACGGAAACGGTAAACGGATACGGAAGCTGGCAAGATGGCCGCCGCCCACAGCCACCACAATGCCAACCTGCTCAGCTCGGACATCTCCCGCAGAAATCCGCAGGACGAGTACGAGCTTATCCAAAAGATTGGCTCCGGCACTTATGGCGACGTCTATAAGGTGAGTGGGTAATTGCAAAACCAGGTGATCTGGGATAGCTAGGTAGACCAGAAAAAAGGAAAGAAAAAATGTGCAAAAAACACCAGCAAACTAAAGCCAAAGAAAGCGCGTGCCTCTGATTTAGAATGTTGCCCCGGAATCCCTTACTTTTCCATGCAATTTTTGCATTCCTTCTGCACAGAAAAAAATTAAATTGGAGTATTTAATTTTTGAAAAAAATTAACATATTTTTTATACGATCTTTTTCGTTCATGGATTGTGTTTTTTCTATTTCTTATTGAAATTTCTAAAGCGATTTTTTTGTTGAGGCCCAATACTCAACCTATCTAGATGTTGTCAAAAAAAAAAATGTGAAAAAAAAGTTTACGTTTTTATGGAGTTTTTGTGTTGGACGAATTTTTGCAAGGGTGAAATGGGCTTTCATGTTTTTCTACTATTTGGTATAACAAAAAAAAAATAATTCATTCCAGTTTGAAAAAAGCAGTGAATAATGTGAAAATAATGAATCTGAAATTCTGAGTATAAACATTAATCAAACTTTAATTACTGCTCTCTAAAATGCAGAACGCATTAAAGCACCAAAAAAAAATATATTATTTTTTTCCACAGTGCCAGATTGCATGTCCACCCCCCGACCTACCCCGCCACCCACTTGCAGACCCTCATTTGTACATCTGTTTGCATGCTCCACGACCCTTCCTCCAGCCTTCACCCTTTTCAGCGCCCTACCCCTCGACACAAAAATATGCGCAATTTTAGTTTTCCATCTCTTCTCCTTTGGATCGTTCTTTTTTACACCATCCAACTTCCATGTTTACTTTTGCCATCCGACGAATGGAAATATGACAAATGCCCCGAAACGCCAGCGAAGTTGCCCTTGGGCGAAAGGCGTGGCACAATGCAATTGTTGTTGCCAGGGGCGGGATTATACGGGAATAAGGGGAGACATTAAAATATTTCTTATCAGCACAAGAGGGGTGAAGCGCCCCGTTGCCATATGGATTGCACCCGGATTCAGGGGATTTCCTCAATTCGATTTATTGCGTTCTAGTTGGCTATCGAAATCTATAAATTTTCAGTTTTGCGGGTTTTTCATTTGATTAATTTTGACGAAATTAAAATTGATTAAATTTCACATTTCCCAAAAAAGCTATGAAGTCGAAAATTCATTTATATTGTGCTTTCTCGGAATGCAAAATTGGTTTATAGCGTTTAATTTGATTGAAAATCAAATTGCGTTGTACTCATACATTTACTGAAATACAATAAACTAAAAAAAATCATTTTAAAAGCATTTTGATAGATGTTATATTATAATCTGACAGCATTGTGAGTATTGTTTAATTAACCCAGCTTTTTCTGTAATTATAAAATTAAATTAATTTGCTTCATCACTTTGTTTAATAACGAAAAGCAAAATCAATAAACCTGTAATGTACACCACAAATTTGCACGAAATATTTATGAAATTGAATGCTTTGGCCTTAAACGATTCCTATTATTTCATTTAAATTTGCGGAATATTTTCAGCAGAGTCAACAAAGATTTCTCCCTAAAAGCATTAGCCATTTGAGTGTAACTTTAAAGCCATTAGATGAGTGTTTTTCGCTCATCGAATTGGCAGTTGGCTTTGATTCATTCCCCTCACTTCAATTTATTCGATAAACAGCCACGCGCCTGCATTGATTATGGGGATTAGTTTCGAATGTGCTACATATTTATTTATGTTTGCCCACATCTGGTTTGGGCCCTCCACTTATTTTGCCATCTGATTGTGACTTTTCTTGTTTTAGAGTCTGGTTCTGTTTTCTGTATCTTTTCTCTGTTTCGTCCATGGGATGCGTCATGCTACAAGTCCAAAGCCCATGGTTTCGGTTTCAATCCACCATTCCATTTCCACTCTTTCGTTCTTTGGCTCCCTCGACTTTTTACTTCGGTCTTATTTATTTTCACATCGAGGTATTTGGTTGTCAGGGGAATTTATGATGCCACACAACTAGAGGCGAACGGCGATGGCATTCCGTTTCTGTTTACAAAACCGCAAACTTCGCCAAATGTAAATCAATTGGTTTTGGGATAATTTCCAGTTCGGTTTCCCAGTTCGGTTTCCCAGTTTGTGTACAGTAAGTTTTGGTTAAGCCATAATTACACATCGAGCACTTCAAGTGCAGGGCAATCGAACAATCATCGTTCTCTTATTCACCCATATTTGCAACTCGTTTCGAGATATCAATTTACAATAGAAATAATAACAGCGAAATGAACAACAATTCCCCCAGTTGACAGGCTATTATGAATGGAATTGGGTTTCCACTGCTCCAATTTGCTTTTCCTCACCTCCCTCACATGTTCACCGCTCTTGGTTTTCACTCATTGATTCTTATTAGTGGCACAATGATCCAAAAATTGAGTGCAACTGCAAAAAAATCATGCACACTGGGAGAAAAATAAAAGGGCATTTCATAAATAAATTAGAATAGGAATGAATCATATATTTTCAATTTTTTATCTTCTTATTTACATTTTAACGAATATGAGTTTTTTATCTAAAGTGAGACATGCAACCCAAATTTTGGGTTGTCAAAAACATTGTTTTTAGGTCTAGTGACTCACTTTTAATATAACGTAATAATATTACGTGCTTATTTCGAGCTTAAATTGATAAAATGTCATTCGTCATATGGATTATTACTATACATACCAAGTTAAGCATTTAGATCTACAAGTTTTGTTTACAATTTTGTTTGGTCATTTTATATATTTTTCATGAAACTTTAAGATTTTTTTATACTTTCCTTAAAAATATTAAAGTAGTTTTAGATTTTTAAAAAAATAAATAACATATTTTTTTTCTTTTTATTTTGTCGTAAAAAACAAAAACTTATTGTTTAAGTTTTCAGATAGTTCCTAAATTCCTGAAATTGCTATTGCACTTAATATTATAAATCGGGGTTTAGTTTTTATTCCTCAACAGGAAAGCTGCAAGGGAAATAAATGGCACCTGACAAGGTGGGTGGGAAAACTCAGGATGGGAAAACTTTGGTTTAAGAGGAAGGTGTTGCACGGGGTTTTCATTACCGGAAATTGGAGAGCGAAACGCAAGTGGGGAAAAGAAAATAAAAGAAATATGGAATAAGTGAACTCTGGGCCTTTCAGGCGTACAAAAGGAAAAGTGCCAGGTTACCTAGCGTTATGCAATGAAAACTGGCACAAAAACTAGTGCATAGTAGACGCATACATATTTTATGCGTACGTTTGGTTGTGTGTGTGTCTCCGGCTTCTGTGTGTGTGATTGCCTTTGCCAGGCACTTGACTTCCCCATACAATGTTTGCCATTGTTCTTGTTTTTGTTTTTCTTATTGCTTTTGTTGTTGCCACACTTTAACAATCATCCTCGTCATTGTTGTTGCTGGTTTTGTATTTTGTTGTTGCCTTTTGTTATTGTTGTGCACGCAACACGCATGAAAACATGAAAAAATTGGCGCAAAGCTCTCAACGAGAGTGGGTGGTAGATGGGTGTTTTTCCTTTTTTTTTTGGGGTGTGAGGTTAGAGAAAAATTACTAGAGAAAGAACGAAGTGAAGTGAATTTGTAGTACTGAAGTGGCGGGAAATGGGGGGCGTGGCGGGCGGGGGGCGGTGGGCGCTCAAGGAGGTCACGTAGCAAACGCATGTGTGTGGGCGTGGCTCTATGCGTTTTGTCTGTCTGACAGTGTGTGTTTATGTTTGCTGATTTGCTGCTTGTTTGGTTTCGGTTTTCACACAAATTGCAATTGCAGCTTGCTGCTGCTGGCTGCTAAACATAAAGCTTCAGCTTCATGTCGAGCTTCCCCTTTCATTTACCGAAAATGTTTCCATTGTTTCTGTTACCGAATTCTGTGCAAAATCACTGCCAAATCATTTACGCTAAAAGCCCAACAACTTTGTCAGCCGAGACAACAAAACAAAAAGCATGGAAATAAAGCAAAAAGGGGGCGAAAACAAACCTAAGCACCAAGACTAGCCGAAAAATGTTTGCCTTGAACTAGGCGACGGGGAAAAACAAAGCAAAATGTCAAAGGGTTTTCCTCTCGATTCGCCTTGGCTATGGCCAAAGCAAAAACCCAAAGATTCCCTGGATTCTGGTGGGGGTAATATGCAAATGGATCCCGACACGCCCACCGTCAATGGGCGAAATGCAAACAACCAGCAGGGAGACAGTTTCAACGCCTTCGCCGCATTTAAATGTTAAATGGCGAAACGCACAAAACGCAGAACTTTTCCTAGGATTGGGAAAACAAAGCTCCACTGGCAGGAAATTTGAATCAGAAATAAAAAAAAAAATTGTACAAAAAAAAAAAATCATTTTAAAAATATTTAAAAAAATCATGTCGATTATTTAAAAACATTTTTCTTCTAAAAATTATACTAAGTAAAAGGTTTAAAAAAATTTTATGATATTACTTTAGTCTACAGTATCTTGAAGTATTTTATAGTCTGTAAACCTTTTTATCCCCTTTTTATGTTGGAGTAAAATAATATAATGAAAGTATAAATTCAACGTTTCGCAATAAAAGTATTAATTTTGTCCTTTAAACGTATTATCCTTTATTTTTTTCCTAATGTATAAAAGAATATTACAGATTTTGAAGGGATTATCTCTCTGTGTGGGGATGTAGACAAAGTTGGGTTGCAATGGCAACCCTTAATTTAGCAACAACAAAGCGCCATAACAAAACAAGTGACGATTGGGTTGTTAGCGGGGGGTTGAAGACTGGGAAAGTCAGGCGGTGCAAAGGGTCGCCATGTTGACCCAATTCCGCCGTGGCAATAATTTGCACGTCTTCTGCGGAAGGGAAGGGGAAATGGGGGGTGGAGTTACTGGGAAATGTTGCGGGTGGAAAATACGTAACGTTCGGTGTATTTAGAGGGCAGTTCCGCCCGTCGACGGTTGCAATGCTTTGTTGGCTTGCGGCTGCATTCTATCTCGCTCTGCCATGCCCTCTTATTATCCCTCCTGCTC